ATTCTAATAAAAATATTTACAATTTCTAACTATTTTCAAATTGTTAAAAAAAATTTCAACAACAAAAAAATAATAATAAAAATGAGTGTAATATTTTTTAGGGCAATATTTTTTTTTCTTATTGCTACATTATTTGTTTTGGAAGAATTGAGATCAGAGCAAAGCAACTGTTAAATCTGTATATTACATATACTTTCACTCTCGCAAGATGAGCTATCAGATTATGTAGAGCCAAAGCAGGTCTCTTCTTTCTCGCCTTCACGATTTTAATTTTTTTCTCTTCTATATACATATATACAAACGTCGCTTCTCCGGTCATATTATGTAATGTACTAGATATTACCTCAACGCCATAGTAAGACGAATACAGTAGCATTAATGGTGGTTAATATCACACCGCAAAACAAGTCAACTGCGAGAATTTAGTCGCGAGAAATCATGATAAATTCAATTTCTCAACAATTTACAAACAAAACTTAATATTGCGCATTAAAATTCATCAAAATTCTAGACCTCAAAGTAAGACGTTGTAACGTCAAAAAAAAAAAAAAAAATTCTTAGCCCATTCATATCGGACTAAATATATATAATAAGAAATCAATATTATTTTTTTAAATAAAAAAGAAATGTTCATCAGTGTCAATTTTCTTAACCTTTTTGTAGGAGTGAAAGACGGATTTCCAAATCATGTGAACTTTAAAAGTGAAAAAAAGGCTTATTTGCATTTCCGAGACTTACGAAATAGTTACGCCCGTCTCGAAAGACATCAATGAAATATTCTATTTTGTTGGAATTTGAATAAAGAGATGCCTTTCACTTTTCAATTTATATACCAATCCGTATAATATTCCTCACATTAAGCTAGATTCATCTAAACGATTAAATTATTTATAAAATCTTCATTGACACATATGCACTCTTCGAGAAATATATTTCAAAATCACCAATACAAACTGAAATTAGCATTTTCATGAAAATTACAACTAATTAACTTTTATAAGTTAGTTAACTTTATATTTCTTATCTTAATCTTTGAGAATTAAGATAAAATTTCAATTTTTAAATTGGTAAAATCGAACATAACCTTTTTTTATAGAATTGACAAACCCCTTGAACAATTGCAACAAAACCGTTACCCGGAAGGTATTTATTCTTTTGTCATCCGGTCAGTTAAACATATAACCTTAATCGCGTCGCACCTGCAGAGGATTCTTTATACGTGTCATCGATGCCAATGTTCCTTTCAAGACCAATTACGTTATTCAGGCTATCTGACGTGATTTTTAAACGAACGGTACTTCTTTGACTATAAGGATGTATCAATTACAATACGTTTGCAATTCCTATTGGATTTTGTTCTATACAATAAATATTTACAAGCATTTTTTTCTTCCTAATAAACGAGATGAAAGAATCAAAACTCTAAAATCAGAAACATTTCTGTTGTGCTAAACAATTTCACCTTCGAAGTATAGATATTAATGAAGTTCTTCCGCAAGTCAGAATTATAAAGAGCCTGTTCGAATTATTCAAGAAACTGGATCGCAAGCAAGTGAGAAAGTTCCGTTGTTGAAAGTGTCACGTACTTATATACATTCTGCGTATTTACCTTGTATATTACATCGTCCTTGCTCTTTCATCTCGTCTCTCCTTCGAATCCTGATTATATCTCATACTATCCCAGCATATCCAATGTCACTTCATGGACCCAAGTGACCTTCAAATGAAATTCCAACTTTTTTTTCTTCTTTAAAAAGTACTTTTTCGCGAACCAATATAATCAAGGACAAACTCTTTTTGCTTTCTCATTTTTGGAAATTTCAACGAAACAAAAATAATGATAATATTTAATCCAACTAACCAAATATTCCTTTTTTTGAAACAAACAAAAATCTGGAAAAATTCCCAATTTCCTCTTTTTAATCTAACAAGCAATCAAAGAACAAACATCGAATTCCTGAATTAATTTAATATTTCAACTATTCTGATGAGTAATCATGAAAAATCGAGAGAATTTTGAGAGTATATTTTTACTAAAGAAACCTATCAAGTATAAGAAAATTCAAAATATCACAAAGTTTTTTTTTTTTTTTTTGAAAATCAAATCTATAGAAGAAAAATATATTATATAAATTATATAATAAAAAAATTGTCATAAAATTAATAAAATATATATTTTAAAAAGTTATAAAAGGTACCAATAAAAGTGGATTTTATAATTCGAAAAATGTTATAAAGTATCAATTAGAAATACTCAGCTAATATAAAAAAGAAATTTCAAATTTTACATAACACATATAAATATGTATCAAAATTATTTCCAAAAAACTTGAATAAGTTAAAAAGATTTACATCAAATTTAATGACAGAAAAATTTCATGAAATTTTCTCTAATACATAAAACAATCGAGTAGATAAAAAATCACATGTATAGAAATATTGTACCAACAATAATAATACTAATAATTAATAATATTAATTAATAATAATAATAACAATAAAACTAATCTGATATAGAAATTTGTTACTATTTCTAAATATTTTTTCAGTTCCCACGTTTTTCTATAGGAAGAATTAAAAAAATATTGTAAATGAATTGAAATATATATTTTAAGAAAAATATAATTTACCTATTAAAATTTCGCAAATGATTTATTGTTATATAATTGATGACCTAATCGATGTAACTCTTTAATTTAATTATTATGTGCAACAGGAATTATTCGAAGGAATTGTCCTTCAAACTGCTTTCAATGCACGTATTATTATAACATCATAATCTCTTCATCAAGAATTTTTATAATTATAAATGAAGTTCTTTTTTTTTTTTACAAAAAAATAATTGAATACTTAATATAGTTCAAAAATACTTAAAATTTGAAAAATTATGTATTCAATTGTTTTTTTTTCTTAATATTTATTTTAGCCCGTAGAAATATTAGAACAAACTATTTGCAAATAATAATAAATATAATATTTATTTTGTAAAATAATTTCTGGATATGGACACGGCGAATCAATAATTTTACTCTCCAAAATGACCTTCGCCTCTTCCACTCTCTTTTGCTACAGAAACTACATCTCGATTGTTTTTCTTTTCGAATACTGGAATTACCAGAATTTGATATTTCTAAATATTATAAAGAAATGAAATTCTTTATATATTTAAGAATAATTTCTTTTCTTTATCCATAATAATTTTATTTTACCCAAAAAAAATCATTTCTAATTTATAAGTCATTAATAATTATTAATACTGTTATTATTATTATTATTAATATTATTATTATTATTATTATTATTATTATTATTATTTAAATATTTTAAATATTAAATACCTAACAAATTTCATATAATCCGAATTTAATATTTTGCAAATTATTAATATTTTTTTAAGATCAATGAACGCCTCCCCATTTGCTGTGAGACTATGAGTCATGAAACATGTTAATTAAAAGGATGACTAATTTTACCATAAATGATTTAACGGCAAAGAAAATAATTTTTTTTTATACAAAAAGTAAAAAAAAATTGAATTTCAAAATACATTTTAATTAAAATTCTTTTTTCCTACTATAATAATTTAACTATATATTTACTTTATATATGACACTTGATATACATTTGATTTTTGTTGTGAAAAAAAATATTGTCATATAATTATTTGAATTTGGATATTAATCGATAGCATATCTATAGCATCTGTTATATGGATATAAGCTAATATTACCATTCCGGTTTTTACATAATTTATAGATATATACATATATGTGTATTAAACTATAAATAATTTATGATTCTCTTTGGGAAATTTCATCAGAGAGTGAAAATACTGTTATTTTTAATTAACTGCCTCGTGTATATGTGTGTGTGTTTTGAAAACGATTTCTTTCACTATATTATATACGTGTTGAAAATGATATTCCTTTAGTCAATACATATTAAAGAAAAAAATCTAGCATCAATGATTTTTCAATTGAATGTTAGAAAGCTTGTAAAAAAAATTAAGGCAATCTATTATAAATAGACAAATCTTAATTTGTACTTTTTTTTGAATAATCCCAAAGAGATTTTTTTAATTACACTACAATTAAATTTCTCTAAATTTTAATATCTAGCTCTCCTTTTAATTAAAAGTAGAATTAATTTTTTTTTATAATAGCACTAAAATGTTTAAAATAGATGCTAAATGATATATTTACATATATTTTCTAAAATATTTTTTGAATATATAAAAAAAAGTTAAAATTAAAAAATTTTCACGATTATAAATACTAATAAACAAATGTTCATAAATAATAAATTTTCAGAATATTTTCTTCTTAAAACCTACGAATCTGTTTAAAAAATTCAGAACCTAATTCATCTCCCACAAAACTTGTTTTACAATCTGGTTCCACTTTTATTGCAACCAGAAATTTGAAGAAAAAGAAATCAAAACAACCAACAAATCTCTTTATAGTTAGAATGCAATTTAAAATAAAAAAAAATTCTCAAACTAAGAATATTTTTTCTAAAAGTTTTTATAATTTTTTTTTTTAATTTTTTTAAAATTAAGAATATATCCTTAACTACAGTATAGAATTAGTTCAGAATTATTTTTTCAGTAAAAACATATATTTTTAAACATAGAATATATTCTTGTTTTGAATAAAAAAAATATACTAAATTTAACAATAAATTGCGATTCAAATATTATTAAACTTGTACAAAGAATATATTTTTTACAAAAATATTTTTTTACTGAAGACATTTTACGCTTAGAATAAATTTTGTTTTCTCTCCATATAGTAAATATAATAAAATCCAAAAAGGAAACAAAAAGAAAAAGAAGAGATAGAGAAAAAGTCAAAGAAGACATGCGGCGAGACGAGCAAAAAGAGAGTTGGGACCCACAACACACAAGAGTACCTCTTCTTGAACTGACGGAAAATAAAAGGGGGGGAGAGGTGGGACTGACACGTGACCAATGACTTATATAAAGGTAAGAACCGGCAGGGCGCCAACACAGTTCTCCTTAGTAAGGGGGATATATAAAGTGTCTATTAATATTTCCATTCATTTTTTTTTTTTTGGAACTGTGTTAAGTAACAAAAAAAAAAATTTTTTTTTTTCTTACACTAGATTTAAGCCGGTAGTAGTCAGTTAATTTGCACAGAAATTGCCATGAGGACGTACGTCGTATTAGCCGCCATTCTTCTCGCCGGTACGTACATGAAAAATCATTCATCAAGGAATCAAAAATAAAAAAAAAAAAAAAAAAAAATCAACGATCAACACAACAATTGAAAACTTAGTAAATGAAAAGAAAACAAAACCAAAAAAAAAAAGTGCAACTTTAGTGAAATCAGTGTGTGATTAATTATTATGGTTTCATTATTTGTGAAAATTTCATATAAAGTGATTGTCTCGGAAAATCCAATCTTATACACAAAAAATATAATTAATTTATTTCTCAATTTAAAAATGTATACACGAAGAGACGCTACTTCATAGTGATAAAATCATTCAAATTTTTTTTTAAGTGAATCCTTTTCGTTCAATATAAGTGAAAATTGGAAATTTGAAAAAGTGGGGTCTTTTTTTCTTAATTTAATATTTTTTTCAGTAGAGGAAGGGGGGGTAATATTTAATTATAAAAATAGAACTGGAATTTAATTAATAATTAATATTTAATTCATTTAATATTATATTAATAATAAATTAATAATACCCACTAATATCAATAATAATTAATATTAAATTATTTAATGTTAAATAAAATGTGAAAAATTAAATTTATTTCACTTCTTTCGATAAAATAACTAAAATTTAGATAATTATATCGATAACTGATTAATTAATATTAATAATAATTTATGCAAATATAACAAAATATTAATTAATAGAATTTTACTTTTTCAATGTTGAACATTTTATTTTATGCAAAAAGTTTTCTCTAAACGTTAAGAAAAAAAATGTTTAAATTTATTTTTCTTTTTAATCAGTGAATCGTTATATTCTTTAATCACCTATAATATTTAATTTGAAAGTATATAATATTAAAAATGACGTACGTATAGAAGGAAGAAAAAGTAGTTGTCGTAAAATTTTTGACGATATATGTATACATATAAAAGGGAAATGAGACAAAACTAGTTTCTTTAATTATATAAATTCATAAAGGAATTGAAAGCAGTTAAATTTATATCTCTGAAAAATTATTAAAATTTAAATAATACATTTTACTCGCGTAAAACATTGTATAATAAATATTTATGTAACGCATTATGTCTTATAAACCGCGCACTACTACTGAATAACAACTATATATACACATGTCTGACAAAAATTAGTTTTTACTACTGTCAATCAAAGTTTTCAAATCACACGAGAATAAGCGAAAGACCAAAAAAAAAAAAATAATTTTTTCACTATTAAATAAAATTTTGAAAATGATTTTATTTATTTTTTTGATAAACGTTATCAAACTAAAGTTAATTATCGAGTTATTAATAAATTTATTATTAAACGCCTTTACAACGTTTAATAAGACATTCACTACTCGTCTGACTATAATTGAGCTTTACTACTTATTTTGCCTTAACTTCCATTTAAAATATATAAACAAATAAAATATATATTATAATATAATATAATAAATAATAATATAAATATAATATAATATTTAATATTAATATGTATAAATATTATACATTAGATATTTTCCACTTTTTTTTTATTTCTCTGAAAGTTTCTGCTTTCGTATATAAAAAATTTGCACTCACTCTATATAATAACTAAATGACTATTTACATGGATTTAAAATAAACTTTCATTTTTGTCAGTTTGGATTTTACGAGACAATACTTTCTACACAGAATTATAAAAACATTTTTTTTTTTAAATAGCAATTTGCATCTAAACTGCACTTCCGGATACTTAACATATATCAATGAAACCTTGATTTATTTCAAATCAAATATTTGCTTTTTAAAAATTTAATTTTTTTTTTTAATATTAAGGACAATTTTCAAAAATCAGTATTGATTAATTTGCGAAAATAATTTTCTTCATTTTCTTGGAAATAAATGCAAGTTTGCATAATAAATTATAAAAAAGTAATAAAAAAAAACACGTGTATAATAATTAATTTCACGCCGACTAATATACAAAAGATCAATGACTTGTATTTAATCGAATTGGGCAAGAATGTTTTTTTTCTTCTTCAGAATCACTTTCATTTATACCAAGAATAATAATATACAAAATAAAGGAAAAAAAAAACCAAAGCTATTTTTATTTTTAAATCATTATCACAAAAATGGAGCACGATTTTTCCGGGACAAAAAATTTTTCTATTAGTTTTTTATTATATTCAATTTCATCGAATTGCTTTATTCATTTATAAGCAGAATAATTTATACTCGGAAATTTAATCAGTGACAAATATATAGCAAATAGACATTTTTATTTTATAAAAACTCCAATTAAATTACCAACTTTTAATTTAAAAATTTTAATTTTAATTAAAAAAACAAATTATTAACATTGCGAATTAATTTTATTTATTTTATTTAACTTTTGTGTTCTTTTTTACAATCAAGTTAATGAATAATAATTAATCATGAAAATTAATTAAAATAAAAAAAATTATTTAAATCTTTTTTATATTACATTAACAATTTATTTATTTATTTAAAAATAAATTAAATTTGAATAGATTAAAATTCGAGTAAAATTATTCTTCTTTTTCTTCTATAAAAAGTAAATCGTGAATTGCTTCACCGCATAAATTGCAACAGATTGAGAGAGAAGCCAATGAAGAGATTAATCTTAAATGAATTGTGTATCGCGTTGACTTTTCAAAAGAATAATAATTTACTTCAGGGAATTTAGGAATCGCTAAAAACCATCTATAATCAACTGCGACATTTAGGTAATTGTAGAAAAAAAAAATTATTCATGACATTCAGAAGCAAAATGAGAAAGAGAAGACTTCTCACTTTGTCTTTGAGAATCTCGCGCTGTACCATAATCCTTTCTCTTAGTGATAATTTACTATATATGTATATATTTATAACAACTTTGCACAAAAGATCACGAAGTTGACCTTCAAGGAATGTATCATTTAATTACAAATTCTCTCGTGATTCCTGATTTTAAAAATATTACAACCTTGGCCGATATATATTTCCGCTTCCTTTAATACGAGTTCAAAAAAAAAGAATATTTATAAAATTTTATAAACAAATAATTGTTATTGATAAAATTTCATAATTAAATTAATTTCAAATTATCAGACAGGCTGCATTAATTTTTAGATTTTATATACTATATAAATAAATAAAATAAACAAAATTCAACATTATTGTTTGTCACAACAAATTCAAAAATATTAAAAATTACTATTAATTTAATAGTTTTCATTTTTTTAAAATATTAAAAATTTTAAACCATTAAAATTTATTTTAAACTTTATAAATTAAATTTTTTTTATTTTTCTGTTACAAATAAATTTGAAATAAATAATTAAAATTTTTAAATTTATTTATACAATTGGTTTTATTTAAAATTAACAAATTTTCATACAGAAAATAATATATTTCAGTGTTAAAATCTGAAAATGAATCAGCCTGATTTAAAATAAAAATTAAACAAAAAGGCAAAGTAGAAAAATGAAATTTTGCCAAAGTAAAATTGTCTGACGTATATAATGAGAGATAATTATTAATATATGAAGATTGAAAAAATGTGATCCTTGATATATAGCTCAAATTTTTTTATGACGAGACAGCAATAAAAAAAAGAAAGGAGACAAAAAAAATGGTATAGGAGAAAATATAATATTATAAACGAGGGTCGAAAACTGGGGCATGAAACCTGATTTTGGTCCTTCGATCAGTGAAACGAAGGCTGGACCCAGAGAAAAATGAAAGTAAAAATAATTCTCGTATGGGCCCCAAGTGAACGGGATGCTGAGACAAGTTGTCGGTTCGGTCCCAAGTGAAAGTCCATAGCGAAAGTCTTTGTACTCTTACATAAGACATTTAACTATTCAGATATCATTATAAATATATAAATATACCTAGTAAGGTTATATTAAGATTTTTGACTTATTTACTTCAGCTCAAAAAATTGCATTCATTAAAAATAACTTCCGAAAAATAGAAATTAACCTCCAAAAAATGTATCTCCTTCTATTTATTATCAATTTTGTGAAATTAATTATAATTAATTAATTATATTAATTTAAATATTTTATTGATTTTTATAAATAAATAAATTTTTTTTCGCAAGTTTAATAATAATTTATCAAATAAAAGGAATTTCTTTCAATTGAATAGAAAAATTCTTAAAAGAGTGCGGAAAAAAAGAGATAGAAAAAAGTTTATTTTTACTGCGATAGGAAATTTTTTTTTTCTCGAGTGTATATATTATAGACTATTAATCAAAACTTTCTCAATAAAATAAAAAAAGAAATAATCCATTTTTTTTGCCATTGATAAATTATTATTTGAAAAGAGTGTCTATTGATGCGTGAATAAAATGAGGAAAAATAATTAGCATATAAGATTCATCTCTCTCTCTCTCTCTCTCTCTCTCACTTTCGAAACAAGTTTACCGAGATTAAAAGTGGAAAATCGAACGATTCATAATACATTATGATTGATATATATCTAGATTTAAAATTACTCTTATTATTGAATTAAAATGATCGTGTTCGTGACGATTCAATGAACTGAGAAACCAGGATCTATATAAATCTTTTTTTTCATTTCTAATCGCAAATTGAAATTTTCTGTTTTTTTTTTAATAGAAAAATATTTTATGAAAAAATTGTTTTTAATTTAAAGGCGAAAATTTTAATTGAATATAAAAAAAAACCAATTGTTTTCTTAATTATTTTTCAATTTTTTTCTGAAAAATTTTAATTCATTTTTATAATTAAAAAAAAAAAATAGAAAAACAATAAAAAAAATTGTTTCATAATTTTTCAGGTGCAAGGGCGCAGGAAGGTTTTAAATGTCCAGATGATTTTGGATTTTATCCACATCACACTTCATGTGACAAATATTGGAAGTGTGACAGTAATATTGCCGAATTAAAAACATGTGGCAATGGTTTGGCATTTGATGCTTCTGATTCGAAATTTTTAACGGAAAATTGCGATTATTTACATAATGTTGATTGTGGTGAAAGAACACAATTGGAACCACCAATTTCAACACCACATTGCTCACGTCTCTATGGCATTTTCCCTGATGATAAGAAATGTGATGTTTTTTGGAATTGTTGGAACGGTGAAGCGTCCAGGTATCAATGCAGTCCTGGATTAGCTTACGATCGTGAAGCAAGAGTTTGCATGTGGGCTGATCAAGTTCCCGAATGCAAAAATGAAGGTAAATTAATTTAATTATAAATATAATTAATGGAGAACAATTTTTTGATTTTTGAGATAAAAAAAATATTTTGAGCAAATTGAAAAGAATTTTTTTGAAAAAATTTTTATAATTGCAATTTTTTTTTTCTAACTAGAAATTGCTGGAGGATTCACGTGTCCAGCTGCTGGAGAAGTGAGTGGAAGTTCTGGAAGTTTCTCGAGACACGCTCATCCCGATGATTGCAGAAAATATTACATTTGCTTAGAGGGAATTGCCCGAGAATACGGATGTCCAATTGGTACCGTTTTCAAAATTGGCGATTCTGACGGAAGTGGCGCTTGCGAAGATCCAGAAGACGTTCCCGGATGGTGAGTTAATCTCTCTATTATTATTATTATTTATCCCACAAAAACAGAGAGATCAAAAAGATTTTTTTTTATTTTCAAATAGTTTTTAATTAATTTTAAATATTTTATTCTTTATTTTTTAATACAATTAAATTTTATCCCCCTAAAAAACAATTAATAGAAAAGGTAAAAAATTAGAAAATATTTTTCAAAAAAAAAAAAAAAAAGGAAAACAAATTTTTAAAAAATCTTTCTGATCACATATTTTTTTAAGATAAAAAAGTTTAATTTATTTCAATGTGAAAAATAAAAAAAAATTATTTTTTTTTAATATTGATGAAAAAAGATAATAATAAATGAGACATTAACTGAAGAACCAAAAATGCATGACAATGGGATGAAGTGGGACTGTCATGACTTCTATTTCTATTTTAAGCTTTTGACTAAACACTTCTTTAACTTTTTTCTGCCTTTCAATCTCTATTATGCACCTAACTTATATACGTGCTCGAATTTTTTCTCTCTTTATAATATATATATGTGAAACTATGCTGGTAAATAAGGGATATTCAAAACAATGAATAAACAAATTAACCAATTATCTGTGTCTAACGCAATCAAAATATAGAAAATTATTAGAAAAATCTAAGCTAAACAAAAACAAATGAGAGAAAAAAATTTTCCATTTTTTCTACACTTGTTTTTGTATCGAAGAGGTCAATCAACATCTGTCGATAATTTCTTTACCCCTCTAAATTTTCTTCAAAAAAAACTAAATTTAACATGATTTCTGTGTATCAAAATATTAACTTTAATGAAAATTTTCTTTGGAATAATCAAACTTTATACTTTTCTTAATATATTGTTTATAACAAAAATTATATACACTGAAAAGGAAATTTATTTTATAATTTAGAAAAAAAGTATTAAAAATTTTATTATGAAAAATAATAAATATTAGAAAAATACGCCTATTTTAGAATATTTTAATTTATAAATTTTCTTATTAAAAGTAAAATTTATTTGGTTTAAGTAATCGACTAATTGAATATTATAAAATATTTTAGATTTTTTTTGTATTTTATTAATAGATTCATTTACTATTTACTTCAATGCAAAATCAATTATTCTCAAAATTATAAAGAATTTTATTTAAAAACCAAAAAATAGTAATTAATTTCCTTCAGTGTATTTTAAATATTTTCTTCTTCTGTCTTCTATCATTTCAAAATAGTTTTCATGTTCAATTTGTTCTAAAATATATAACTTAAAAACTAAAAACTATATTTAAAAACGACAATAATATATTAAAGTAAAAAAAATGCTAGTAAAAATGCTAGTATGATTTAGAAAAAAAAAATAACCGCAATGAAAACAAATCCCTTATTCACCGCGCGGAAATTGTTTCAAAATAAAAAGAAAAGATGTAAAAACAAAACAAAACATAAGAGAAAAAAAAGAGATTTTGAAATTGAAAAAAACGAAAGGAAGAAAAAAAAACCCAAAAATCGTGCTAAAGGAAAGCAAATCGAATCGAAAGAATGAAATATTGACCAATATTGGTCTTTCATCATCATCATCGATTTTGCTTCACAGTGAGGATTACTATGGAGATCTGGACCTGAAGAGCATCAGGAAGAGTGAGCTGCTTGCTGGACTTCAGAGCACTGGTGAAACAAGGAACACGGGCAAACCCCAATCAAAACCTAGGCCTACGCCAATTGCCGCCAGGCCCTCACCATCCAATCAGGAATAAATCTTTCTCAAAAAAAAAAAAAAAATTTAAAAACCAAGAAAAAACGCGCTCTTTTGACATTATCAATTTATCATCGATCTATCTATCATCCGAGAGCCAAGAGTAAAAAAAAACTATATGTACCAAAAAAAAAAAATTTTTTTGGTACCAGTAGTCACAGAAATAATTATAATAATAATAATAATAATAATAATAAAGTGAGAGTGAGAATTTCCGATAGAGAGAAAGTGAGAGAGAGAACGAGACAACACGAGTGAAAGAGAGGGAGAGAAAGAGAGAAAGCGAGATTTATTGAGAAGTAAGAAAAATAATTTCCCCCATGGTCCATTTTTTTGACCCCTTAAAAACAAAGTCCCTATTAGGGCGTGAAACCCAAAAAAAAAACCAATTTCCTTTCCACATTTTTTGGAAATCCGATCAATGAATGAAATGAAACACTTTTTTTTAAATTAATTTCGTGGGTGAATTTTTTATTATTAAAATTGCCTCTACAAAAATCAAATCAAAAAAAATTTTCGATTCCAAATTTAATTTCATTGCTCAAATTTATTTAAATTAAATTAAATTGAAAATTTTTCTAATTATTTTCTATAAAAAATAATATTATGTAAAATTATAAATTTATAAATATTTTTGTGTCCATTTCACTCAACATCAAATTTATATTCGAGGGAAAAATGTTATTATTTTTTTTTTCAAATAAATTATAATCTTGTACTCTTGGCCTCAATCAGACTTGAACTGATCCCATCTCCCCCCCTCGAGAAGTTATAAACTTTTTATACCCCTTTGTCATCTATTTTTTTTTATATACCTAAGTGTAAGGAGAAAAAAAAGAATGAGAAAATAAAAAAAATCTTAAAAATTCTCTACTGTCTTATCTCTTTTTATATAGTATTTAAATCGATTGATGTGTGCTTGACCTTTGGTGTCCTTTAAACTTTCCACCTTTTTTTCCGCACAATGCAACTATACCCTGACACACTTACTTTTCATTTTAAAATGGATTTTTTTTTATTCTGCATGCTCATACACTCACAATGCAATTTGCACCCGTAATTTAAATTTTTTAAAAAATGTTCACTTTTAATGCTTTGAAAATAAATTGATTTATTTTAGATTTAATTAATTAAACATAAAAATAATAATAAAAGTGTATAAAGGGTGAAAAATTAAAAAATATATCAAATTATAATACAATTTAAAATGATACGAATAATTGAATAAACTTTACAGGTAAGTAAAAACATTTTTGCTTTTTCGTTTGCTTTTTCATTCTTTCTTCTAAAAAATTTTTAGACTTCTCAAAATCTAATATTTTATCAAAAAAAATTATTTAACTCTAATATCGAATTTAAACAGTTATTCTGTAATTTTTACAATAACAATCTTATCAAAATTTTTATAACAATTTAAATTATTTTACATTTTTAAAATTATGTAAATTTACTAATTTCTATTTCAAAAAATATATAAAATTAATAAATTTTCTTCAGAGGGTAAAAAAAATTATGTTTCGATCAAATATAAATTCTCATTACTAGATTTAAAATTAAATACTTTTTTAATTGTAAAAATGTAGATAAATCAGTTAATGTCTTTAAAATACTTATTATTTGAAAAAAAATGTATTTGTAAAACGTTACCTTTTATTTATAAATAAAAAGTAATATAGCAGTTTTTTTAATAAATAAATGTGACAACATTAATTAATATTGCCATTTTTAATATTTATATAATTTCGGGAATAAGAATGAAATAAAATTTTCTTTAGCGAGGACTACTATGGTGATGTGGATTTAAAAGCACTTAGAAAATTGGGATTCAAAAAATGAGAACGCAACAACTAGTACTAAACAAGCTATTTACTACATTCACGAAGAGAAGAAAAAGACTATAGCGAAAAACATGGAAGAAATTACATCTAGATCTCCCAGTAAATAATTTGATTTGCCAGTATCTCTTGTATATGGTATTTGGTTACGCTCTCTAATCACAGAGGCCTTTCATACCTAATTATTCGTCATGTTAAGAATATCTTTCTATTTTATTATTTTTATTATTTTTTATTAATATTATTATTTAATATGAAAAAAAAATAATTTAAATACTTTTTTTACATTCCCCCCCCAATCAATGCCACCGTTTTATCTTTAAGTCTTGTATTACTTTTAGTTTATAATCATTGTAAATAAATTAAAATAAGTTAAAAACCGTTTAAAATTTAATTCATCGAAAAAAAAACCTATAACAATAGTATTGAAGATAATTAAAATATAGAAAAAAATCGAGACAGGAGGGACTCACCATTTTTACTGATGATTTTCAAGGCATTCCAGATCCACTGATTTTCTGCATTCATAGTCATCCTCTCCTTCAGTGCTCACAGTATCAGCAAATGTAGATATGAAGCTTCTGATTCTATCAAAATAGACAAAAATGTGTCATTTATTTTTATAAAAAACAGTAAAAAATAAATTAAACAAATTTTTTTAAATTGTGAAATTTATTTAATCTTAATTCATTCTCTAAGAATTTATTCTCAATTTAAGGATTTTTTTTTTACGAAATTGTTTTCTACACTTTAAGAAAATGTATAGAAAAAAAAACATTTAGAGCTGTAAAAAAGTATATATTATTTGTAAAAAATTATACCTGCATATCTCTAAATTTTAAAGAATAAAAAAAAATATAATCATTTTGTAAAAAAAAGAATTTTTCCAATAAAAATTTTAGTTTTATTCTAATTTTGTTAATTTTGAATTTTAAAAAACAAATTTGATAATATTTAAAATATTATTATTTTGTTAAACTTGAATGGCATTATTTACCTTATTTGGAAAAGGAACACAGTTGATTGGAATGCTTTCAGTTGTCGCACATAAAAAAAAAGCTTTCAATACTTTTTTTCTTCAAAATGATTCTGAAAAGAAATCAAAATCAATATTAACTTACCAGTTTATTGCTAAAAAAAAAAATATTTTGAATTTGTTTGGAAATTAATTTTATTAACATTTTATTAAATAAAATTTTTTAAAATTTAATTTGCTAACATTTTTAAATTTAATTTTTATTCCTTTTATTTTTTATTTATTATTATATTTTATATATAATATATAACATATATATTTTATTTATTATATTTTATTAAACTTTATTTTCTCCAATTTAATAATTTTGTATTATATTTAACCTAAAAATATAAAATTATTACTTAACAAAATAATTTTTTTTTTATTTGTAATAATTAAGACACATTTGGATTAAATACACTTAAAATCAATTATTATTTAAGAATCCCTTTATTATTACCAATAATTTTTTATTTTTTCCCCATCTTTATTGCATTTAATTTATTTTAACCATTTTAACGATTAACAATACTGCAATCACTTATCAAAACCTAACCCTACTTTATATTCGCCAAATAATTCGATAATTAATTATACAATATTCTATTAGTAACTTACCAGATTGACGAAAAACAATTAAAATCTTCATTTTTATGAATTTATATATGATTATTGTTACATATTATTGATTTTATCTTACCTCAAGAAAAGAAAATTTTCTTTGACATGATGACTTTGAAGCCATTCGAACCCCTTCTTTGGGCGATACCTCGTCTTCAATTCAGATTTCCAATTTGGAAAATAATGTTATTTGCAGCTGATGAAACGTGTATTTTACCCAGAAATCACCTTTTTGATAATTTTACTGCACCCTTTCTAGGCAGGAAACTGGAAAAATGATGAGAAAAATACTCAACACATGCACTTGCATGGGACGCCATCTTGAAAATATTTCATTGTCGCAAATATTTTCACATTTTGTCTAAATCAACAATTTTTTTTGCCAATAAAACACAACCTACTATACTATTTCTGACAAAAAGATAATATTTCTCGAAATATTGTAGAAACTCATTACGAATTGGGAAATATTTTCACATTTTTGGAAACATTTTATACGACAATGCAATCAACAATGAATCTACCATTTGAGACAAATCGTCATCCATCCACTTAATTAAAGGATTTTTTTACAAATTTATATAAATTTATATTTCATTTAACTAATAAGATTGAATAATGCAAAAAGTTTTGTAAAAAATATAGAAAATATACCTTATTTAGGAAGAAAAATCTTGATGTCGAGGGACGCCATCATGCACCGAAAACTTTTCAATAATAACGGACAAGTACAAACACGAAGAACCTCTTGTCTTCTGATTGGCTGCTTGAATAATGGCAGGCAACTGTAACAAAAAAAAATGCACATTAAACTTTTTTACATATTCACTAAAATGAATTATTCAGATTATAGAAAATTTCTTAATGCATTAATTAATCATTATTATTTTTTATATTTAATTAATTTAATTGTTATTTGATTTTTAATTACATTTTTATAAAATAAATTCAAACGTTACAAATAACAAGGTTGGCAGTGGTGATTTTAATTCGACTTTGGCGCCACCTGGTGACAATTTAGAGAAATTCTAACCCTCATTGCTCGAATGATATAAAAACAAAATCATTGTTGAATATTTGAGGTTAAGTTCTCCGAATTATTTAATCAGTTATTTTTATTTAAATTTAGATTAATAATTAATATTAATAATATTTATTTGTCGTTGAAAAATATTTTCAAAATTACCAATTTGACAAATGGATTTTCCAACCTCGAGAATTTAAATAGTTTGACAAATTTTTAATTAAAACTATAATGACGTGCCAATGATTAAATGAATTTTATTTTTATTATTGAATAAATAAAATAAAACAAATTAACAATGGCAGCATTAATAAAGAAAAGAGCTTTGGCGGAATTTACCCAAAGCCAAGTAAGTAGTACAAATATTTTTATTATTATTTATTTCTAACACTTTTTATAAGTCTCTTGTTTTTAATTGTTATATGATTTTTTTTTACATTGTAAACTAATTTATTTTTTTGAAGGTAATTAATGAACCTCCGGTAAAAAGATTAAAAACACTACGACTTTCTCTAAGCGGATCAAATAGAAATGGTGCAGGAGTTAATGGTAGTTCGGTTCTTGTTTACATTGAATGTCTCGAAAAATGTAAAGGTGGAAATGATGCATTACAATTACTCGTGAGAATATCTGATATTCTTTCGCAAATGATACCTGATGATGTTCCAACAGCTGTGAAAAAATTAGTCGAAAGATTTGCAATTGAACAAGAAGCTGCTGTGAGAACAAAAATTCTTTGGGTTTTTGCTGAACTCGGCGAAGTTACAAATGATCCTGCTGAGAAAGCGCGAATTATTAATGAAACGGCAATTCTATTAAAAAACGAAGAATCACATCGTGTCAAGAGTCAAGGACTTGCAACACTCCTTAAATTAGGCAGTTTTAATCAGTAAAACAAAAATTTCATTTTTTTTAAAATTATAACAAATTTTTAATTATTGATATAATAATTATTTTAATTTATCTAGAACTGCAGTTTTGAAAATTGCTCGTGAACATTTACCGGACACTTGGCATGGAGTACAAACAAGATGTTTGATGATAATTGGAAGATATCTTTCTGCAAATGTATCGGATGATACTTTAATATTAGTGGGAAATTATGCACGATCGCAAGATCCACGAGTACGAGCTCAAGCTTTTGAAACAATGGCAGAACTTCATTCGCACAGGGGCTGTCGGCTTCCTGCTACTTTTTTCTCTGAAGCTTGTGGAGCATTAAAAGATGATTACGAAATTGTTCGTCGTGCTGTTTTGAAATTAATTTGGCTACTTGGAAACGAATATCCCGACCAGTAATGACATTTTTTTTTTTTTTAAATTCAAAATTAATTATTTCAACTAAATTTGTTTTTTAATTTGTAGAATGATTCCCGAACAGGAGGGAGAAGAAATTCGTATGATAGACAGTGCCTTTTCGAAAATATGTGGATTAATGGGCGATTTATCGCCTCGTGTACGTGCCTCAGCAATGTCTTTATTGGGATCAATGAAAGGTGTTTCTCGACGTTATATCGAGCAGGCTTTGGATAAAAAACCAAAAACTGTCGAGGATGAAAGTTCAGAAGTTGAAGAAAGAAGTGGTTCATGCGGAGCTTTTATTCATGGTTTAGAGGATGAATATTTGGAGGTGAGAAAAATTAAATTAGAATTTAATTTGTGAATTTAAAAAAAATGATTTCTTAGGTACGAACAGCAGCTGTGGAATCATTGTGTGCTTTATCTTTGGAGCAACCATGTATCGCTTGTATTTCATTGGATTTTATGGTCGATATGTTTAACGATGAAATTCAGGATGTACGATTAAAAGCAATTGAATCGTTGAGAAAAATGTCAGCGAGTGTAACATTACGTGAGGATCAATTGCAAACAATTTTAGGAGCATTGGAGGATTTTAATGGTGAGGTTCGTGAAGGTTTACACGCAACATTGGGAGCAAGTCGTCTTGCAACACGTAATTGTCTTCAAATGTGTGTCACAAGACTATTGGAAAATTTAGCGCGATATCCACAGGACAAAGAGAGTATTAGGAGTTGTTTAGCTGAACTTGGTGCTTCTCATCCTTATCTAACATTACCACTTGTTCCACAAATGTTGGGAAGACATCCATTTTTCGATACACCCGAGCCTGATGTCGACGATCCTCCCTGTATCCTTTTTTATAATCAACAATATTGAAAAAAATATTTTTTTTTCTATTTTCCTTAATTGAAATTAGATGCAAGTACATTGGTTTTGATTTTTAATGCAGCGCTTCATTGTCCGAGTATGCATGCTCTATTTACGGAGCATGCGGCGAAACATTATTTATATTTACGCGATACAATGCCACATTTAGTGCCACGATTAACTCCAGTTTTGACGAAAAGACTTGGTTTTGGAAAAGAAGAAATGGAAGATGAAGAATCAAGGGATCGACGAGGAAGAGAATTTCTTGAGCGGATGGTAACGGGAATTGAGAGAGCAAAACCAGGTGGTAAAGTTTACACTCAACTATTGGAAGCTGCTTCCGTTGATGTTGAACGTTTATCAGAAATGGATAGACAAATGGAAGGCGCTGCTACATTCACAGCATTGTATATAAAATGTCTTCTTTTAATTCGATCAATAATTAAAGATTTTTCCCAATCAAGTTTACCATCATCTACATCGGGTTCAAATACATCGAGTAATATTTCTCTCCTTCTTCAACATGCACAAAAGTAAGTTATTTATTTTTTTCAATTTAAAAATTTAACTACTTGTAAATTATTTTTCTAGATTGCAGAGATTATTCTCTGGTTTGAGTGAAATTGACATGGCATTGGCTTCGGACGTTTGGTTAAAAGCATTGGCAATTGATTTGGTCCGCGTAACAAGAAGCGCAACGGGAAGTGCTCTTCCATTGACAAGACAATTTTTATCTGAGGCCGATGCACTTCCACAAGAGACAATGAAATTACCACCATTTTCTAAAGCTCTTGTTATTCAATTACCGGCACTTGGTGAAGTGAAACCTGGTCCATTGACGAGACTATTGATGCCATTGTTATTGGCACCGCTTCAAATTGGTGACGAGAGACTACCTAGACCTTCAGCAACGACGAGATTTTGCCGTGCTGTTATTGAAGAACCACGCGGTGATGCTGATTCAGCGTTAAAATTTACCGGCGGTTTATTACTGGGCATTCCAATGACAGCGAAAATTTATAATCTACGCGATTCAAGTACATTGAGAATAAAATTACGACATCCCGATCAACAGGTGCAATTATTATTGCCAAGAAAAACTGATCTCAAAGAACAAAATAGTGAACTTAAAGATTATCGATTAAGAACAACTGTTTTGTTTTCCCATCAAGTTTGGATGGAAGCATGTAATGTTGAAATTTCACTAGCATTAATTGCCCCATCGTCGACAATGTGTACACATTCACCTCAAGACGATCCGTGTGTTATTGATTTATGTAAACCAATTAAAGTGTCAATTTCACCGAAAGCTGTTAAGCGAGGAATTTAATTTTCGATTTTTTGGAAAATAAAAATTTTAATTTTCAAAAAGAACATTTTTTTTAAACAAAAATAAAAACTTACCATAATTAAGGGAAAATTTTTCATAAAATAGACTCTTTTATTTTTAGATCTTGAAAATGTAGCGAAAACGATATTCAATTTTTATCAGCCTTTTTTTAATAGACTGAATCAGATTTTCTTAATATTAAATTAATGAATACTAATTTTTTTTGGATGTTGATTCAGCGCCAACTTGAAAATGAGCTTTTTCTAGAAACAAAAGAAAACAAAAATTATTTAAAAGATAAGTTTTAAAAATTTTTTAATAATTAATAATTTTAATAAATAAAATATAAATCTACTCACGCTGCAAAATCTGGTGGCTTTTGTTGTTGTTGTTGTTGCTGCTGCTGTTGTTGTTGTTGTTGCATTTGTTGTTGTTGTTGTTGCTGTAAAGGTGAACCTTGAGCCAAACTGCTGAATGACAAACCTCCACTTTGATTTGCAAGTGATTCAAATGTATTACTACCAGTCGCTCCACCAAATACTTTTTGCATTTGAGTTCCACCTAAAGGTGGTGGACTTCCACCCATTATTGGTGGACTTCCAAAACCTGCAAATTTTTATTTTAATTAAAAAAGATTCATATTTTTTTTCTTGTTTAGAAAATGTATTTTTGAAAATTACCAGTAGATGCAGGACTGCCACCAAACGATGGAGCGGCTCCAAATCCACTTCCAAAAACTGATTTTGCTTGTCCAAAATCGGGACTCGCGCCAAATGCTGGTTTTGCACCAAAAGCGGGAGCTTGTCCAAATACTGATGAACCAGCTCCGCCTCCTCCTGCTGCTACTGCTGGTGACGATGATCCACCAAACATAGAAAAATTCGTTTCCTGGGCTTTTGGAGCGCTTGCTCCTCCAAATAATGATGTACTATTATCCGATGTTCCACTGCCAAAAACTGAAGGCTGCGTTGACATTCCAAAAACAGATGCCGTTGATGTTGGCGTTGATTTCATTCCAAATGCCGTGGCAGTCGTTGAAGCACCACCAAATATTGAATTACCCGATGAATTTGCATTACCAAAAACGGATGGACTTTGAGCGAGTGTATTACCACCACCAAATGGATTTGCATTAGGTGTATTTGAACTTTTACCACCAAATACACTTCCACTTTGAGATGTTGTTGTTGTCGAACCACCGAAAATTGATGAATTTTGTTCCTTACCAAAGGCAGGAGCAATTATATTCGACGATGTAATAGCGCTGGCAGTGCCAAAATTTAATGTTGACGCTACACTTGAAGCAGGAGCAGCACCACCAAAAGTAGGTGTCGAAAAAATTGACGTTGTAGGAGGAGTTTGAAAACTAATTGAAGTTGTTGGTTTTGAAGAATTTAAAGAAAGTGACAGCATATCCATACCGGATGTGGCCATTGTTGATGAAACATTTGGAGATGTGTAGTTTGGAGGTGGAGTAGAAATAGCCACAGAATTTGAGGAGGATGTTAAACTTGAAGCTAAAATTGGACTCGAGACGGAAACTGGTTTGGAAACAATAACTGAAGAAACTCCAGAAGCTGATGAACTATTTGGACTTGATGTTAAATTTACAGCCGAAATTGAACTAATTACAGGTGTTGAATTTGTTGATGTAACTGAATTGTTCAAAGGAGTTGCAGGAGAAGAAGAAGAAGTTATACTAATTGAACTCAAAGCTGGTGGTGTCGATACACTAGAATTACTACCACCAAAAATACTTCCACTTTTTCCAAATGGCGATGTTGCAAAAGTATTTGTCGTTCCAAATGCATTTGCGCCGGATGTTCCAAAAATACTCGGTGATCCAAATGTATTTGCAACGGTAGTTGCAGTTGTCACAGAAGTTGTACTCGAAGTTGTTCCAAAAACATTCGAAGTTCCAAAATTGTTTGCCGTAGGAGTTGTTGGTGGTGCACTTGTTCCAAAATTAGTAGAAGGAGAAGCAGGAAAATTTGTTCCGGAAGCACCGAAAATATTTCCAGCCTTTCCAAAATTAATGCTTGACATTGCAGGAGTAGATTGATTAGTAATTTTTGTTTCTGAAATTGGTGTAATTGTCAATCCAGATTGGGAAAGATTTAGACCACCAAGATCGAGATTTGCTTTTTCTTCCGGTTTCGAAGCAAATGAGAATGCTGGTGAATTTGTTGGTGGTTTGGAAGCAAATGAAAAATTTTGTGCAACTGTTGATGATGATGATGATGGAGGAGGAGGTGGTGCAGTGGATTGTAAATTAAACGTTGATTGAATTTGTGGAGTTAGGAGAATATTTCCCGGATTACTTGCAGTGAAATTAATTGCCGGTGTTGGTGAAATTTCCAAATTTTTTACCACTTCTTTTTCAATTCCACTTTTTATGTCTTTTGTCACTTTATCAATCTCTGATTTTTGACCAAAACTAATAGCCTCGACTTTTGGAAATGGTTTAGCTAAATTCTGTGGACTTTGGGCGAAAGAAATATTTATTGTTTGTTTTGGTTTTTGTGAAGCTAATGCTGGAACTAGCGCAGGTAAAGTTTTTACTGGTGAAATTGAAAGTTTCGTATCAGATTCTTGTTTTTCGACAATTTTCGAGACAATGTTATTTAAAGATGCAAGAGGACTGCTTTGTACTTTTGGTTTTTGATTTAATTTTTGCTCGATTTTTGGTTTAGAAATTGTTTTTGGAGGACTCATTGAGGCTAGTGAACTGAGTGTTGATTCTAAGCGATCTTGAATTAAAGTTGGTTTCGCTGGTTTTATAATACGCGGTGCTGATTCTGAGAGAAAATCACGTAATTTCATTTGTTTCTCACGACTGAAATTTTGATTCATTTGAATTATTGTTTTACATCGTAGATCAATTGTCGAATCATGAGAATAATTAGAGGTATTTGATGTAATATGAAGATTTGATATTGAACGATTTAGATCTGATACTGTATTATTGCCACGTGCAATTGATTTCCATTTTTTAATGAGACTATCAATGTTACTTTTTTCTTTTGCTAAAATTTGTCCATGTCGCATTAAACTTTGATAAATACATTCCATATTTGGTATTTTCATTTTTTTCTGTTCTCTCGATTGTTGTTCGGACCATTGTAAGTCAAGAACTTTTGATGCCTGAACTAATTGTGATTGTGTATAATAAAAAAGTTCTTGTAATTCATTGAGTTTTGAATTTTCTCTACGATTTCTTGAACTTAATTTAACATTATCGGAATTTTTTGAATTTGTTTCTTCCAACCAGGCAAATGATTGTATGAGAAATCCTCGTAAATATGTAATATCACTGGCGAGACTTGTTGTTGTTTCTTGTAAATCGCGAAGAAATTCATCGATTAATGCAGTTTTTTCAATAATTTGCTCTTTCTCTGACTTAGTGCCAACTTCCCAAATTAATGGTTCGAGTTTTGCTTTTAATTCTTTTTCAAAATTCACTTGCTCCTCTCGATAAGCTCTTAAACAGAGATTTTCATCGATATTTGATTTCTCTTGTATTGAATCCTTTGATGGGATTTCTTTTTGTATTTTAATTTCCGGTCTTGTTTGTTTCTCGACAATTTTCTCAATTCTTGGTTTTGGAATATTGAGATCAACAGCGGGTGCAAAATCGATGGGTTTTGGTTCGGGTGGTTGAATAAAGGTATTCATTTTTGTTTCTAATTTTGCTAATGGTGCTGGTGGTAAATTTACAGATGTTGGTAAATTCACAGGTGGTAGATTGACGGGAATTAAATTTGTTGCAGGTGGTGGTATATTTAGTGCCGGTGATTTTTCTTGTTCAAATTTAGGAGCGAAACCAATTGTTGATTTTGAATTATCGGCAAAAAAGTTTGCTGCTATAAGATTCTTCGGCTTTTCTTTTGGTGAATCCATTTTAGCACGTGGCGTACTTGTTGCTCCTGTTGCCAAATTAAATGAAATTTCAGAAGACGATGGTCGAGGTACTGGCAAATTAACTGAAAATCAAAAAGACAAATTAGTTATCATTTTAAAGAATATATTTTAGAATTCGAAAAACAAATTTTAAAAATTAAACCTGGTGCCACTGGTGCAACAACAATTTCCGAAGGAGGAACACAAATTGCAGGACAATCGGCCTTGAGATTAACAATATGAAAGCTGCAAAGTTGACCGGACGTGGCGAGAATATGAAGTATTGGTACAGGATTTGGTAGAATATTTTCTGGATTTAGAGCAAGTGGAGTTGTTGGAGTTTTATCGATAGCTAATCCAACGGGAAATGATTCATCCGTTCGCACTAATGGAAGTTCAGCTCTACTATTATCAATAAGTTGCCATTGTTCCCATGTTAATCCATTGTCAAAAGTTCCTAAAACGGCAATTTCACTACTCGAACTACTTGCTGCAATAATAACTCCCCATTCAGGAATATAATCGAAATAATATTGATTTGTGGGAATTCCTCCATAAGTAATATCTTCGTAATTTGTAAATTTTCCCACAGTTTCACCTTTAAGTGCATCGACAATTAAAACATTGATACGTCCTTCAACTGGTTCTTGATATGCTGCGCAAAATTGAAAATTACTGACCCATAAAATTGCTATTACACTTCCCATATTTGGATTTGGTCCTGGAATTGTTCTTGCAATTTTTAATTCTGGTTTTAATTGAATAATATTTCCATTACGACAGCCAACAACTATTTGTTTTCCTTTTGGACTCCATGCTGCACAAAGTGCTTCGACATTGTCAATTCGTCCTGATCCAGTTATTACAAAACCTAATTTTTTATCACCACTCACTTGAAAACTTCCTATTGTATGATCACTCGTAACTGTGCACAGCATCCCTGGAATTGCGGGATTCCATCGAAGATCAAAAACGGATACATCACCGCTTGAACTTGAAAGTCGTATTTCATGTAGTAAATCCAAAACCTTTAAAAAATAAATACCTTTTTAATGTTAACTTTAAAAAAATCGGGATAAAATTGTTTCTGAAATAAAGTTTTTTTTTCATGTATTTATAAATTTTTAAAATTTTGTATAGTTACGAAAAATATTACTTACATTTTTCGATAAAAGTGCAGCTGAATATATTAAAACAGAAGGTCCAAAAAGTGTTACTGCCAAAAGTGAAAAATCACAATTAAGTGATAATCTTGTAATATTATCCGGTAAATTAAGATCTATTCTCAATTCGATATTTCCTTCATTGCCAATTTTTAAAACCGTTATTATTTTTTCATGACCAATGTAAAGTAAACCTCGTTTTCCATCTGCAGCAACGAGACTACAATTCACAGGAACCAAAAGTTTTTCTGATAATTGATGTTTACTTGATGTTTTGAATTGAAATTCCTGAAAACAAAAAAAAATTGTGAATATTAATTTTAACCTCTTTAACATTAAACATGAAGATATTTATAGTTTCTATTATTTCCAAATAAAGTAAAGAATTTATTATAAAGTAACGGCAATTTGAATATTAAAATAACGAATGCATGCAGAAATACATAAAATATTCTTAACCTCAAAATTATCACGTTACTTACCGGCAATTCTGACTTTTAAAAATATTATTAAAGTGCGACTACTATGAGAATTGTTTCCCGGAGAATACTTATATATAATTTTAAATAATATTCACATATATTTATAATATTTAGAGACTTACTTGAATTTCTTTAGGAGCCGAAGCAGTTGTGACACTCATGTTGCTGCTTTTTTCGCGCGTCAATGTTGAGTATTGTTGGGATTATTGTTGTTTTTCTTCGTGGTTGTGTTTTGATTCACAATTGTTTCATCTGAAAGCAACAACAAACTTGTGTAGTAGGAGAGATTAAATAAATGTGTCGAATTATGAAGAACGAAATGTTTTTGAAAATGATCACAAAAGTGTGGAACGCTACGGTCGAAATAACCTAACCTTTCCGGGCAGGGATGGGTAGTGACGTAAACAAAAAAAAACGAGTTACCCGCGTAATTTAAAATTATTTAAAAATAAGTAAAATACTCGAAAACAAAATTAAATAATTAAATTAATTGTTTACATAACGTTTTTTTTATTGTTTATTATATTTGAGGTTTAAAAAATGAAGGGCCAAGAATCGATTACATATTTTTTTTATTTTAATAAAGAGTACAAAAATTGAATACTACACAAAACATTAATTTTTGTTTTGTCCTATTGAATATTATCAATATTCTCAGTTTTTTGTTTTTTCTATACAGATATCAAATTAACATTAAAAAAGAGATTACGTTAATATTTTGTCACAATTGTTGTAAAAATTACGTTATTATAAACAATATTCAATTCGATATATGGAAGATAATTTTGATATTATACAAAAGTTTTATTCTGTAATTGTGTGACTATTATTTATTTTTTTCTGATCATTTTCTTTAATTTTTAGGCAAATATATCTGCATATATTCAATAGATTTTCGTTTATCTACTATATTTATATAGGTAAAAATCTATCAATTTATGTACACACAAATACAACGGGTTCTTTTTTTTTCCTCCATTTTTCTTCCACTCGTTACAGTCAGCGATCCATTCGATTTTTTTTTCCTCTTAATACTTTATCTGCAAAAAATAATTTTAATTTTCTACAATTTTTATCATAAAATAATAATTATTTATTATAATAAATAATAAGCAATAATTACAATTTTTATAAATTATTAATAAAAAATGTAATTAATATCTAATAATTGTTTAAAAGTTAATTATACCGTCTTTCACGAGAATTCGATCGAGAGCGACGATCTCGGCTTCGGCTTCTAGTTGGAGATCTCCTGCGTGGTGAACGTGATTTAGACCTTAAAAAAATTAATCAACAAACATTAATAATGTGTATTTTATTTACTTTTTTTTAAAGACTTCAAAAAATTGTGTTAAAAATTTTCTCGATACTGTTTTATTTTTATAAAACAATCTATATCAATATATTTTAAAAACTATTCAATGTTATTGGAATTACTTGTTTTAAAAGTTTGTATATATAATTTTAATATAAATACAAAAATGTATCTCTACTTAATACAAATAAATAAGTAAAATAAAAATTTTATACACAAAAAATAAATCAATATCGAGTGAATAAATTATGAACGTATACAACATAAAGTATATCATTTTAGAAATGATTTCGTGACTAAAGAAAAATTGAAAGTAATATTCTCACTATTATGATTATTGAATTTCTCATTGAAAAAAGACGTTTTGTTATATAATAAAATTTTTAAATCTTTCTTGTATTATTGGTAACTTCTTATCTAAAATCATTTCTGAAATAACCTGTGATTACAAATGGATTAAGATAGACAAATAATTAAAATCCTATTAAAAATCTTAGAATACGAATAATAATTATTAATACTAGATGACAAATTATTATCAAATGGTGAACCAACCAACAATAAAAATTAACAGTTAGGAATTGAGAAATTTTTAGAAATATTATATATTTTAAATTTATGTTAGAGTAATTCTATTTTATTTCATGTCTAAATCAATTTATTGTTAATGTTTAATTTTATCGATTTAGTTGAAATAAAATAAAAAGACCTGAATTAAAATTCTATATGACAATTTTCCCAAGAAGGTTATACGAAATTATTTATTAAAAGAATATTTATCAATTCTGTTAATAATTTATAAATAAAAAAAAATTAACTAATTAAGAATTTGTGAAATGTAAAAAATATAAATTTAAAAAGAAAATTTTATATCCTCCTTGGAAAAATGTCAAGTATGAATAGAAAATTTTGGAAAATCGATGAAATACCCATTAAACAATTGTGGAACATGTAGTGGTGATAGTTGATTGGGTTGGGATGGTGTGTAGGTGGTGATCATTTTACTTTTGCTCGATTGAAGAGAAGAAGTGGTTGCATGTCAGCTAACAAGTAAAACGTGATGGTTGACGAGTAGAAGTAGCAGTAGAAGTAGAGCTTGGGGTTTTTTTTTTTTTTTGTTTGTTTTAACACAAGTCAGAATTTTTTGTTTTTTGAATCGCGTCAGCCGTTTTTTGTTGGGTTTTTATTTTCACGATGCTCCAATTTTGTCGCACTTAGAAGTTGAGGTAGCCCGAAGATGTCGTTTTTTGATTGATGGGAAAGTGACGAACAGCAAAAGAGCGGACAAGTTGACTTCTTGTCGATGATGATGATGACGTGGTTGGGAGATTAATGGACAAAAATATTTGTTCAATTTTAATTGCTAGCGAATTTTTTTTTTTTTTTTTCACGGTGGCTGTAGTTGTTGTGTCGGGGAGACGAATAAAGCTAGACGCTGATAGAATCTGTAAACGTCAGTTTTAACAAAAAAAAAAAGAAAATACCATCATTGCGATTATGAATGATGATCACCTAATGTTTCGTTAAAAAAAAAAATAAATTATTTTCAATTTCTAATAGCCTCGTTTTTTACGAAACAAACGGTATTTGAGTTTAGTGAGGCTCTGAAAATACATTTAATAGATTAAAAAAAAAAATGAATTACCTGGAATAACGATTAACAGGCGATCTTCGTGGGCTCTTAGAGAAGGATCTACAGAGAGAAAATAGAAACAAAATTGGCATTTTTTCAGATAAATTTTACTTGGTAAAAAAAGAATCAATTCTTACCTTTGGGAACGGCCGTTGCCCTTTCTTACTGGACTACGTGAGTCAGATCTAAAATAAATGGAATTAAAATTTTTAATTGCATTTTAATAGCTCTTCATTATTCTATGTCTATAAATTTTATTTGAGGTTATGTATGCTTTTCTTTATAATAATAAATAGAAAATACAATTTGTAAATAATTTTTTATCGACTTTACCTTGAATTATATTTTCCAACTTGTCTGCGACCTCCTCCACCTCCACCACCACCGCCTCCACGACGACTTCTACCTGAGGACATTTCAACTCGTACTCTTGAACCACAGCAACGACTGTAATAAAATTATATTTTATCATTTTCCTTTTTTTAAAAACGAATGTATTTTCTTTTAATAAGAATCATAAATAATTCTTACATTCCGTCCAATCCTTTAACTGCATCCTCGGCATCTCTGGGATCGTCAAATTCGACAAAAGCAAATCCAGGTGGATTTCTGGCAACCCACACATTTCTCAATGAACCAAATTTGCCAAAAGCACATTCAATTTCATGTTTATTGGCATTGCTCCCCAAATTTCCAACGTATACTTTACAGGCTAAATCCCATTCGCGATAACGCGCCATGCTGTTGATATAATAATAAATCTAAACAATTTGATTTTTTTCTAATTCATTTTAACTGCTTAGCATTTACGACTCATAGAAACATGTGATACTTCAAAATATTGTAAAAAATAAAAATCAATTAAATTATACCAATAATTTCTATAAGAAAATAATTTAAAAAAGACCTAATTAGGTGAAAAAATTATTAATTTTGTATTCAATAAGGAGAAAATAAGAATGTAACAGAAACAAAAGAAATGTATTTTAAATCATTCATTCGTATTGAATATCATTTCAATTTCAAAGAAAATAAAGAAATTAATTTACTCACATTCTTGATTAATAAGTTCTTGAAAAAAATAATCCAAATAATTCTATAATAAAGCAAGCATTAATAAAGCTTGTCTGATGACGATTACACCAAAAATGTGAATACAAAATGGCGAACAAGGAACAAGCAACATCATCTCTGTTTAGAAAACTGTCAACAAGGGGGCGTCATTTTTTCCCCCTTTACAACGTAATTCAAATCCGCAACATTTTCAAAAATGGAAAGGGCTCTTTTTATATATACTGTAAAAAAATTTATTTTCTGCATTTAAAAAAAAATGATACACTAAATAATTTTCATTAATGAAAAAAAAGTAAATACTAACCTAATACGTTTTTAATAAATGAAAAATAAAATCGATTTCCTTTTCATAAAAATTAAAAAATTATTTTTAATGTACCAGACGTTTATAATCAATTTTTTCAAGTTGAACCAATGGTTTTAATTGTTCAGCAAATGATCGCATATCTTCGGCAATTGCATCCTGTCCAGATGGTGCAAGAACACTGAGTTCAACGAGATAACTTTGTGACATTGGTTCAACACTGTCGGGCATTTTTCCTTGTCCCATTTTAAAGATTTTCGAAACAGTCACTTTCATACGTCCCTTACGAAACATATAGCCACGTACAATATATTCAAAATCTAATTTACATCCCAATTCTGATAAAAATTCAGCAACAGTATTACTTGTTGCAATATCTAAACTACTTCTTATTAATGTTGGACGTGATTTATCGCCAATTTCCGTTTGACCAATATAACGTAATTGCCATGGCATTTCGGGATAATCAAGAGCTCTTCGAATTCTTAAAAGAAGTGGTTGTTCCGGTAGTGGTCCTCTGAAAATTAAATTAAATTTTACTTCTCCTTTGGTTTTTTTCACAAAAGAAAAAAAAGTACAATTGCAAATTTTTATCAAACTTTACCGTCTAATGCTGAAACACATTTCGTGATCGTGAAAAGTTTCAGGTCCAGTGTCAACATTGTCACACAAGCCACGAAGACGATGTAGCAAAACTTCAACTGCACTATCCAAAACAGAACCTTGGAGAAGATATTCCTGATTTGGAATAATGTTCGTTTTCATTGCAGCTGTCATACTGTCCATTGCAGTTGATATCGGCGCCGACATGATTATTAATTAATATTTACCTGACAATTATCAATTTTATTAGCTTTCAATTCATTTGAATGAAACTTCCTCTGTCACTTTAAGGTTAAGTTATCGTTTTCCACTTATTGTACTTTTAATCATTAAAATAATTAAAATCAATTATAGTTTATAAATTATATATATAAAATTAAATCATTATTTCATTGTTTATCAATTATTATCGTTTATTTTCAATAATATATAAAGAAACTCACCAACTATGACGTTTCAATTTGTTGTCATCACGTGACCGACTGAAGCGCCACCTGTAGTATAAATTATCCACTACATTTAACTTTAGCGGGAAATTTCAAAAATAGTAAATTCTGAAACAGGAAATATTCTATATTATAAAAATAGAAAATAGTGATAAAAAATATGTATTTCATAAATAGGACAACAGTTTACATTTGTTTTTCTTTCATTTTAAAAAATGAACAAAATTTATATATATGTACAAAACTTGTATTTTTGTGTTATTTTAAACTTGTGTATGTGTAAATAAACGAATTTAATAAACAAAAATATTTACATATTACAGTTCGATGTTTACTAGAATAAATAAAGGCAACAGAAAAAGAAATTTAAAAAAACAGATTTTGTGTAAAAAAAAAATAAAAAAAAAATAAATAAAGTAGAGAGTGAAAATTATGTTTTACTATCAACAGAAGATGTTGAGTGTGTCCTACCGGAAATATGACCCAATGTTGGATCATTCGAACATCCGCCAAGGGAAAACATTTTCGGTATATCTTGACCGTAATAAATTTTCGAATTTTGTCCAAGTGATTCATATTTTTTTAATTCTAAAAATTCTTTCGATAATAATAAATCATTTGCTTCGGCTTGTTTTTTTGTTTGATAAAATTCAGCGTCAGAACGACTTTTTTCACGTGCCAAATGCATTTCATCTTCGATAGAAGCAATTCTTTGTAGTGATTCTTTTTCCATGATTTTCTGTTCAAATTGAATTTTTGCAACTAGTGCCTCTTTCTCGGCAATGATGATTGCTTTCTTACGATCTGTCTCAGCGTCTTTTTCAACGACTTTTTGATGTTGTGTTGATATTAAAAGTTTTGTTTTTTCACCTTCCCTAAAAAGAAAAAAATATAAATTTTTGTAACAATTTTAATTTATAGAATAAAAATTGTTTTCAATTACTTACATGAGTTCGTAATTTTTTCTAATTGTTTCCGGTATTTTTGGCTTTGTAACACGAACAGCTTGAATATGTAAACCTGGTGCAAGTTCATTTAAATCTTTTTGTAATGCAGTTTTCAAATTTTCATCAATTTGATCGAAGAGATCAATATAAACTTCATGCAAAGTGTGCACCGAACAAAATTGATTTAATTCATGATGAACTTTATTAAAAATTAATGTTCGATCATAATCAGCAGTGAAATTTCGAACCATATTGTAGACTGAAAAAAATATTAATGCATTTAAATTAAATTAATTCTGATAGATTGGAAATAAATCAAATAATATTGTTTACTTACCGGCACCGGCGTCTAAAATATTAACAACTTCAATTCGATCAAAATAAATCATCACACCACCACTTGTTCCACATGGAACATTTTTTACTTCATCTGTTTGCAAAGTTATTTGTACTGCACGATAATATGTAAGAACGGGAATCATCATATGAAATCCTGGATTACTGACATGAGGCAATAATGCTCCACCCTGAAATAAATTTTTTTTTAAATTTAAAACTTTTCATTTTAAAACAAACAAAATAATCAAATTGAAAATATAAACTAATAAAATAATTATAAAAAACTAAAAATAGCAAAATTTACGTACACGAAAATAAACACCAACATGTCCTTCTTCTATACGATGAAGAGAAAAATTAAATATCACAGCTAGAAAAATTAAAATGCCGATTCCAATTACACTTTGGTCAATCATTGTTTTAATTGCAGTGAAATATACAATATACCTGAAAAAATGTTGACTATTAATTCTAATTATTAATATATATATTTTATATTTCAACAAAAATTATATTTATAAATAAACTTTAGGTTATGTTGATTTCCTGATATATAGTAAATATGCAATAACAATAAATTTACTTCTTAATTACTGAAAATTTAATTTTTATTAAAAAACAATTGTGTCGAAAAATTCGAATAAAATTTTTAAACCTTTTAAACAATTAAAATACTTGTTAAAATAATAAATACAAAATATATATGTACAAATTGTAACGTTTACCTTTCTAATAATTGCCCTTGGAAATAGAAATATTCTTTTTGAGTTTTATTTATCTTTTCTCAATTATTTAATTAATTATTATTATCAAAAAAGAAAAAATTCATTTTGACAGATGATCAGATTTTGAGGTTATGTCAAAATGTTTATCCATCAGGGGACTAATCAGGAGTGTGATCCAATCAGTGATTTTCATATACGTCATAACAATTCCATTCATTGGCTGTTTTCAAATTTGCGCTTTAATAAACAACCAATGAGTGTGTGTTTTGTGAAAAATCTTAAGGCGTAAATATTATTTTTGATTATCGTTTTATTTATTTAAAAAAAATTAATTATAAATTTCTAAAACACTGTATTCAAAATTTTAATTTTAATCACAATTTAAAAAAAAAAATATTTATTTATATGAATGTAACGTTAGTTTTCTTTTGTAAATCGCGCATAAAGAATGAAATACGATTGGTGGAAATATTCCGCGCGTAAATTTAAGAGATTTTTTTATTAGTGTTTTCGAAAATTATTTCTTTTTTTTAAATTTCTATTTTTTGGTGATTGCGTTAATGAAAGTGATTTTACATCGTCTATATTTTGAGATAAAATTTTCAATTCCTGAAGCGCTCTTTTTGTTAATATTCCCTCTGGTGTTGTTGCCGGTTCCAAAAGTAACATTTTCAAAGATTTTTTTAATAAATCTTCGGCTTCTTGTAATTTTAAAAGAAGATCATGTGATGAAATTTCATTAGCTGCATAGGCACGATTTGCCAAAATTGCAACAGGAAAATGCATTTCATACAATAATATACCTATTGTAAATATTTTTTTTCTGTTATTATGAAATATATTTTAATTTACAAAAAAAAAAAAAATGAATTAAAATTCTCACCTTTAGCCCTGGAAATTCCTGGCTCTATTATTTCGAGAACATTGTAAACCTCTTTACAAAGTTGAAACATTTTTAATAAAGTTTTCTTCTGCGGATTAGGAGAACTTAATTCTCTTCTATATTCGGTCAATAATTTTTGTTTCAAATTTAAAATTAAAAAATGATTTGTATGAAAAGTTGAGGATAAAGTCTTTAATAAATTTTCCATTTTCTGTCGAAAAGAAATTGATTCATTAATATTTATATATTAGATATATTAGATTAGATAAGAATTTTAAAAAAATAATTTTAGTATTAGAAATCATAATAAAAATTCAAACCTTTATGTCATCAATTTCAATATTATTGATCAACGATTTTGATATTTCTAAAGTTGATTTAATTAGACATCCAAAATAATTTCTTTTACAGGACTGACACTCCCAATTGGTCCCTTTGTCATAATGATTAATTGTCAATGGATTTTTTATTGTCACAAAACCTTTTCTGCATCTTGGACAAATTATTGAACTCAAATGTGAACCACCTTCGAAAGGATCAAGACAAGTAGAACATTTACATTCGAAATATTTTCCTTCTCGAAGATGTTCTTTTCGTTCCGCTGAGCCCTGTAGAAATTAAATTTTATAATCTAATTATTAATATTAATAATATTAAAAAAAATCTTAATTTTGCAAAACGGAGAAATATATTTTTAATTTTTTTTTGTAAATATTTAAAACTGACCAATAAAGAAGAAGTGTAGTTAAAATAAATTATTTCTCCTTTTTGAATTGGAAGACTTGCAAAAACTGTTAATTGAAATTTATCATCAACAGTTATGTGTGTATTTCCTCGACATTCGTGAGCAATGAGAGATGTTTTTAAATAAAGACCACGAAGGGGAGATTCGCCCATACCTCCTGGAGATCTCAATTCAAATGAATTCACATCCAAAATACCGCAAATTTTTTGCACAAGCTCTCCCGCATTCTTATCATTCGCAGAAATTAATTTCATCTCGCGAAAAACCTACAAAATTTAAAAATATAAAAATAAAATAGTAAAAAAAAATTTGTAAATTGAAAAAAAAAATACAAACATCGACAACACTTTCTTCTCTCTCTTGCCATATTTCGGTATTTCTTCTTTTAATTGAATGATCCTCCATCTCATTTATTTGTTCCCATTGATTTGAATTTTTCACTTTTAAAAGCCACATTCGAAAATGCATTAAAATTTCAGTAATTTGTTGAATATTTTTGGAATAAAATTCTTTATCACTTTCTAATAGCTGGCATTCCTCTTTTGTGTGATGGCCCAATGAATCCTTTATTATAAATAAATAAAAATTAATTATAATGGAAAATTAGAATTTTTTATTAAATTTTCTCTTTTTTAAGTAGATAAAAATTATTTATCTTTAATTAAAATCATTCTAATTTAAAAAGGCGGTTTTTTTAGAACCTTTTTTTCATTTATATATTTACCTCACAGAAACTATTGCACAGGGGGGCGACGTTACATTTCGAACAAATGTAGTGTGATTTTTTGCTAGCAGCCGAAAGATGACGAAGACAAGAAAAACATAAAGATGATTTATTAAAAGTTGCAGGTCCAACGACCACAGGATCTTCTCTAATTATCACTTCACCCGCTGAGATATTTTTTGCCGATACCAAATATCTAAAACAATACAAATTTAAATAAATTTTCACATTTTTAAACTTGTATGCAATTTTTTTCATTACTTCATAAAATTCTTTTTTTACAAACTAAACATTTTCTAAACTAATTATAAAAACATTTACCTTCCTAAATTTTCCGAATGACAAATTTTATATTTTAAACAATTACTACTTTTACTTGCCATAATAAATAATTTTTATTTTCAATAAAATATAAAAATTTCAAGTTGTAGTAACAAATTTTTGTTTTAAATAACTTGTTAAAATGTAAACTAAAGAATTATACACAATTAGGGTTTTTTTTTGAAAACATTTGAAATTTCTTTTTTGGAAAAATAATTTTTTGATTTGTTAAAGGTTTAGAAAACGTTGGTGTACTAAACTACGTTGGTAGTCATTTCTCTCAAGATGATATTAATAGAATTAAAGAGCTAGAATCTTTTTAGGCCAAATAAAAAAAAGATCATATACTGCTCATATAAAAATAGATTATTTGTAATTCTATATTATTTTTAATAACTATTATTTATTAATTAAAATAATTTAATATTATTAATAATTATAACAATGAATTAAATTAACGTTAGAAAATAATAAAATAAATGATAATAAATACTAAAATAAATTAATAAAATAATTTATCATTAGTACCTTTTATTCAATATTTAATTAATGTTCAAATAATTTTAAAATATAATATATTATTACAAGAAATTGTAATATAAATGATTTTCAATTATCTGAGTCATAGATTATTTTCGATATTAATAAATATTTAAATAATTTTCATCATTATGAAATGATAAATTTTTACTAAATACTAATATCTGAATATTCAGATAAATCGGATGATTAAAGTAGTAAAAAATACGTAAATGTAAATTTGTCATATATAAATATTTAAAACTTCTTGTTTTTTTTATAATTCACTAATTGATTTCCATAATTCGGCCAATGATTCTTTAGATTCTTCTCCCAATTGTCCTTCCGGTGTGTCAGCCGGTTCAAAACACAAAATTCTAATTGCTTCTTTCAAAATATTTGCAGCTTCTGTTGTTTTTGATTTTAAAATATTTTTATCAATAACACCAGCTTGCCATTGACCCCTTGCCAAAATTAAAAGAGGAGCATGCAATTCATATAAAACCATTCCTAAAAAAAGAAAATAATACAAACATTACATTTTTAATTGAATTAAAAATTCTATCAAATTAAATAAAAAAATAATTTTTCAAAAATCTTGATTTAATATTAATATTTAATTAATTTTATACCTCTTGCTCTTGAACATCCAGGTTCCACAACGTCCAATACCTGAAGTAATAAACGACACATTTCAGCTTTATGCTCAAGTACAACATCCGGTAAATCAGTGAGAAGATATTCATCAACACGTCCATACATTTGAACCAATGAATATCTGAAAAATTAATTAAAATTGTTTTCTTAAAATTCATTTTTTTAAATTAAATTAAATTTTTTGCATCGTTTTTTTTAGCACCTCAGCATCGTTAGAAAGGAATGATGAGGATGCAGGACAGAATGATATTTTTTTATCACTGTTTCACGCTGTTGAATTGATTCTGGTCCATCGGGTCCAGCAAGCATTTCCGCTGCTTCCACTTCGGCTTGCATTATTCGAAAAACTTTCAAAACTGCCGCTCCGGTTGTTATAAATTCACAATGTGTACATTTCCACGAACTATCGGAATCTAAAATTTAATTTAAACATTTTTTTTCTATAATTTATTTATTTATTTTTTTTTTGCTTTTTAATTTTTGTTTTAATATAGAATTTTATTTTCAAACCGAGAGAATCCAAAGGAACCACGATTCCATTATCGCATTTACTGCATTTTAAAGAAGACATGTGAGTTCCTAATTCTGTTGGATCGGAACATCTGTTGCAGGCGCAAGAGAAATGTTTTCCCTCATAAAGTTGTTCTCGTCTTAAAATTGTTGGCAAAAGGGAATGAGTATAACTTCCATATAATTCACCTCCTTTTGGAACTTTCACTGTTGTTCTCAAATAAACCCTTTTGAAAAAAAGGAAAATTGCCACTTTTAAAAATTTGCAAAATTAGTTTAAAAATAACTAATTCAATAACTTAAATAATTTTCCTATAACTATAAATAATAAATTTTAAATAAATAATCAATTTTTCTAACAATTATATAAAATTTGCTTCAATATTAAAAATGAATAACATTTTTGTAATTTAAATTTAGAAAATATGTATTTGTATTTATGTTTTCTCTATTGAATGCATATTAATAATACGAATCGAAAAGTGTCATGGGAAAATAATAATATTTTTGTTATTACTTGTAATCGGTGGGCGATACACCATGACTTGTATTAGAAACACAAGAATGATTCATAAGTGAAAATTGTGGATAAAGAGCCCTTGCTGGATATCCTTTTGCTGCTCGTACTTCATGAGTGTTAATTTGCAAAATTCCACAAACCGTTTGTATATCATCTTCTGAAAATCTTTAGAAATATTTAGAAAACAAAATTTTAAATTGTAACATAATTCAAAAAAAAGTTAATGATAAATTAATACATATTTTTAGAAAAAAGATTCTCACCTTGTTAATTTTAAACGATTTCTTATGTATTCAACAATATTAACATGATCCGCTTTCCATTGACAATTTCCCTGTCTCTTTTTATTGTGAGCTTCCATTTTCTTCACTTGTTTCTCCCATCGTTCTGAATCTTTTTCTGAAGCTAAAAGTAATCTTAGAGGTGTTATACATTCCAATTGTGGAACTCCAGTTTGTAATTCTTCACTTAAAGCCACTGCAATATTAAATTTTTCACGAGCTTCTGCGAAAACCTGTTTAATTTTTATTTAATTATAATAATAAACAATTTAGAATTTTTTATTTAACGTAATAATTGAAAAAAACGGAAAAATAATTCAAAGAAACAAAAAATTAAGATTAAAATTTTGTGAAGATTAAAAAAAAATTTCATAGTTATACATACTTGACATTCATAATCCTTATGATGAGGATTATTTTCACATTCTGAATCACAAACTGGCCAACTGCATTTACTGCAAAGTGTATGAGTGTCAGGAAGACGAGGCCAGGCAGAATAACATCCTAGACAAAGAGGATATGTAAAAGCTTTTGGTCCAACGACAAAGGGCGTTTCAATAAAAATCTCTTCTCCTTCTTCTAAATCTTTCGATGCCACCAAATATCTACAATTACAAAAATTATAGTTTTAATATTGTTACTTAAAATATAAAATATAATTGCTTTTACAAAATTGTTAAATTTACAATTTATATTTAAATTTTAACAAATAAAAAGAAAAAAAAACATTTTACCGTCCCACTTGTTCGTTTTGAAGAATTTCGTAATTTTTAGAAAGTCCTTCGCCATTTTTCTAAAAACAATTTTTTGAGAAAAATCAAATTATATAGTTTTTTTTTTGACGTAATAGATGTTAGATAATAAAAATATAAAATGAAACTTACGGACAATTGAGACATGATGCACTTTTTTTTTTATTCTTTAAATCTCGTTCACCTGTTTCTGTTCGTATGTGAAATTAACTGTCCTGATAATCTTATATATATATTGAGCGTTATCAAAAATAAAAATCCTCTAAGCTTGCCAAACTTTGAATCTAGAATGTGCTACTCTAGTCTCGATTCTTCACCACGTCAGTTGAGGACCAACTGATTGAGTATATTTTTGGCGCTTGAAACGTACAAATAACATCCAATAGTTTTCCATCCAATTTTCATTCATTTTTAGGCTCACTCGTTTCATATATTTATTTCTTCTTTTTTTTTTTGGCAAAATATTTACATTATATATAATATGCGTAAATTCCAAATTTATAAAATTTAAAATATTTTCCTTTAATATTGATTTCTGCTTTCCCAATTTTTTTGTGTTTACAAAATTTCCTACTATTTTTCAATAGTTTAATTAATTACTATCATCACAACAACACATAATTAGGTATATAAAACGTAAACAAAATAATTATTTATTATTATACATTTTCCTAAATCAAAAGACAAATTTTTAATGAATTATATTTAAAATATATTTTTAAAAAATCGAATCTCATTTAAAAAAATTTATATAATAAAAATATATTTTGTTATTGTAAATATAAATTTAAAAAAATTATTTAAAAATGACTTACGTAGTTCCTTTATTTCCCGCCGTTACAGTTTGAAATTTTTCTAACCTCAAAATTTTACCTCGAACTTTTTTCTTGTTCATTATTCTAAATAATTGTAGATTCATTAAATTAATATACAAAAATGTAGTAATAGACATTTTAATAACTGTTTTATATCAGTAAAATGTTTTTTTTCACGTTTTTGTTTACTTTTTGAGGTTAAATGTTGATCTACTGTCAATTGCTTCCATTTGTAAAAATACTGACATTGAACTCTTTTTCACTATATCGTAAATATTTACTTGGTTTCAAAGCAGTGATAGTTTCTTTTTAAAAATAAAATGACACTTTTTCTTTTTCTTTATAAAACAAACTTCCTCAATATGCAAAGGGCCATGTTTGCTGCACATGCGCAAATAGTTCCTCCCTCTTGGGTTTCTTCGATTGTTAAGACCAAAGTAGTTCTCCTCAACGAAGTCGTAATTTTCACACGAAACAAGCTTCTTAAATTAAAATGTAAGTACTATTAATTCTTATCATAATTTGCCTATTTCAATGCATTTATTTTTATTATTATTGAAAGGAGTTGTGAAAGAATATAAGACATACTGAAAATCTCAGACGCCGGCATGGTTTGCAAATTGTTAACGACGACGTAGTATCGCTGACCTTCGCCGAATTTAATGCCAAAGGGCAAAGTTTAATAAAAATTTACCTCAATTCTTTTTAAATTATAAGATTTTAATTATAATTAATATTTTGCCTCCTAAATAAATCTTCATAGGTTAGAAACACCCATGTTTTATGCTCGGAAATTCAGTTTATGGCTTATGTAATACCCAGGTCAATACCACTTTCCCTCGAATTAGAAAAAATTTATAATTTAATAAAACATAATTATAAATTTAAACCGTATTTTCTAAATCCTGTACAAAAAAACGCAGTAATTAAAAAACGTGATATTTTTTGATGTTCACAATTTCTGATCGATTTTTAAGTTGAAGGTTACCTGCGAGAATTGGGTCATCTTTAGGAGATTTAGTTCAATAAAGGGATTTTCTTGTTAAATTTTATTATAAAAAAACACTTGTAAGAATTTATTTATATTTTATTAATAGAATCAATAATTGAAAAATTTAATTTTTATTTGTTTTAAAAAAAAAAACTTATTATTTTCATTAATAGACAATGGCACCACCACCAACATACAGTGATTTGGGAAAAGACGCACGAAATGTTTTCGGCAATGGTTATCATTTTGGTCTTTTAAAATTGAATGTAAAAACTAAAACTGATACAGGTGTTGAATTCACCACTGGCGGTGTATCAAATCAAGACACTGGCAAAGTTGTTGGTAATTTTGAGAGTAAATATAAAATGAAAGAATATGGAATTACATTTGCTGAAAAATGGAATACTGACAATACTCTCGGTACTGATGTTACCATTGCTGATCAACTTTTGAAAGGATTACAACTTACTTATAGTTGTACATTCTCACCGCAAACTGGGTAAAATATTTTATTTACATTCATCCAATAAAAAAGTGATTAAAAAAAAACAAATATTTTATTTTACATTTTATTGTAGAGGCAAAACTGGACAATTGAAGACAGTTTATAAAAATGAAAATGCAGCAATTACCTCTGATATGGATATCAGTCTTTCAAGTGGTCCTATCGTTAATGGATCATTTGTTGTTGGATTCCAAGGTAAATTTTTAATTTTCAAATTAAAAGTGTTATGCGATTTTTTTTCTCTCTTTTTATGACTCTTGTTTTCTTTTTTTCTCCAAAGGTTGGCTATGCGGTTATCAAACATGTTTTGACACTCAAAGGAGCAAAATGACTAAGAATAATCTTGCACTTGGATTTACTGGTCCTGATTTTGCAATTCACACTTCCGTGTAAGTTAAAAACATCTTTTTTATTTTATAAAACTATTGCAAAAATTTAATATCGTTTTCGTGAAATAATTTAACGTTTAAAATATAATTTTTCTAGGAGTAATGGTCGCGAATTTGGAGGATCAATTTATCACAAAGTGAAACCAGGATTAGAGGGAGCAATTAATTTGGCCTGGAATTCCAGTAATAATGTCACTGAATTTGGACTTGGTACTAAATACGATCTCGATCAAGATGCCTCTGTCAGAGCCAAGGTCAATTCACAACTTCAAATTGGATTGGGATATCAACAGAAGCTCCGTGAAGGTATTAATGTTTTTTTTTATTAATCAAAAAGCTTTACTTTGCGATTAAAAAAGTATTTTTTGCATTTTTGAAAAAGTAATATTCATAAGGTGATAATCAAACTTGTCCTTGTGTCTAGAATGTGTCTGTGATTGTAAAACTAATCAAAAGTAGTTAGAGATTTCTATTTATATAATTCACCACGTGCTAATCTAAAATTAGATTTAACCTCCTGGCTCAATGGTCACCAGACAGTGTCTTCTCTCTTTCTTTATTGATTAACATTATTTATTCTCAAATCTAGAGACTGTATATAAAAAATTTAAATCACGATTTCAATTCTTCTTTACAAATATTTAATTTTCTATTTTTTCCATCCAGGTGTTATACTTGCTTTGTCAACGAACATTGACGGCAAAAACTTTGGATCCGGTGGACATAAAGTTGGTTTATCATTGGAGCTCAATGCCTAAATTTTAATATTTTTGAGAGGAATGAAAATTCAAACCCCTCTGTTATTAATTTCATAAAACACTTGTGTCGTAAAGAGACAGATTCACCAGAAGCTTCAGAGAAAAAAAATCGCCTGTTAACGTGTAATTTTAGATATATAGAATTTCACGCATCGATTTTAGCTCAATTATAAAAAAAAAAAAAAAAATAATAATAAAAGCAGTTGAGTTTTATCGAATTACAACAGAATGAATGTCGATCTTGAATTATTATGACGAATTTCTTCTTAAAAACTTATTACTACGATAATTAATTAATCGAGTGACAGAAGAAATGATTATTCCATTCAAAGATAAAAAAAGACGATTGAGATAATTATTAATGTCGAGACGATAAAGAAAAAAAATTCCGAGAGGGGAAAAAAATAGAAATAGAGTAATAAGAAAAAAAATGTGTTTAGGACGAATAAAATGTTCAATGTATAACAAATAATCGAAATTTCGTTTAATACACAATTTTTTTCCATGTAGTTCTGTAAATAGATGATAAAAACTACAAAGAAAATTACCTAATGAATTTTAATCTTTTTTTTTTTCATTATAATATACACACACTTTTTAAAAATTGAAATATTTTACGACTTTGTTAATGATAAATAAGAACATTGTAATTATCTCTCTATTATATATATGAAAATGAAAAGAAAAATAGTATTCAACAAATTGAGCCCAGTTCGATTACTCTATTTTAATTTATATTATATAATCATAATAATCAACGATCTTTTTTTTTTTTTGTAGTTTATATTTTGAGCGAATGCCTTTGAATAGTTGCTGAGAAAAAAAAATAATAAAATTAAGACACAATTGTTAAGTTTTGGCGTGGTAGTGATTTATTTACAAAGAAAAACATATTTCCGTGTTCGACAATTTTTTTTTAAAATCAAATAAGCTACTTTTTTTAAATTAGTATGTTTTTTTTCATATCAATAGTCTAAAGTTACAATTACTTTTCAAAGTAGAAAGTTGTTATTTTTTTTTAGCCTTTTTCGAACTTAATACTTTTATTTAGATAAAAAGAAATAAAAAAAAAAGGATCTCTGATTAGATTATTTCTAATTTTCAATAATAGTTAGTGCACCATCTGATCATCCATGGCTTTTGCAATCCATTCTGGTTCAGTTTGAGCAATCTTCTCAATAATCTGATTTACTTGATAGCAAAGAGACTGAATGTGTTTGTCCCATGTTGGTAAAGTTTCACGAGCTAAAAAACAATTTTTTTTTACAAGTTAATCAAATTAATTTAAAAATTATTTTCATTTTCTTTAAAAATATCAAAACTCACTTTCAAAATTAACTATGGAGTCAATTTGATCAATATAGCCATTCATTCTGCCTTCGGTTATCATTTGACTTGCAATTTTTTCAGCTTTTGTTGGTGGTATTTCAAGTAACGCTCCCAATTCTTCGAATGTAATATTATTATAGAGTTTACTGGCTGACAATAAATTGTGTTCAATTACTGCACGATCGAGAATTGTTGATCCAAGTCCATCTGTCGTACATGCTTTTTGATGTGGTTGTAAAAATTCTTCAAACTCCTGAAGCTCAGAGCGACGAATTATTCGATCTAAATACATTTTCTCGAGAATTGAATAGGCAGGTAAATTTTGACATCGTTCATCTTTAAAAAGAGTTGCCAGCATACGACTTCTTTGCTGACCTAAAATAATAAAATTTGAATTTTTTTGTTTTTGATGACTCGATTAAATTAATTAATTAATTACCTGCGGACGCAAGGACGGTACAAATGAGAGCATTTTTTAATGCCGTCATCCTTTCATCTTCATGGATAATTGAACGATAGGAAAGTTCATTGTATCGCTGAGCAGCTTCAATAAATTTTCTTCTATAATCTAAGACTCGAGCGTAACAAACTTTGTAATAAATTTGCAATTGTTCGTTCTTTGATTCGGCCTAAAAATATGATTTTTTTTTAAAATATAATAATTAGTTTCTTGTAAATTTAATTAATAAAATAATAATAAACCTGTAAAAGAGATGCTCTGTTTATAAACGCTTCGGCTTGAACTGGATCATCATCTTCTAAATAAAGTCGAGCAATTTTGAGGTACGTTTCAAGTTTATAGTCTACAGTGTATTGTCTGAAAAAAATGTAAATAAAAAAAATTATATTTCGTCTATTGGAAAAATTATAATTTAAAAAGAAAGAAAGAAATTTACTTTTGACCAGTTTCTAAAGGAATGCCAACGAGAACATTAGCAGCTTCTCGCCAATTTTGGTTGCGTTCATAAATATCGGCCAAATGTTGTCTTATACTAGCTACTTGTTCTTCAAAAGAAATCACTCGCGGTTGAACCTGCAGAAAAAAAAATATATATTTTATTAATTCAGAAAAATTTTACAATATAAAATTCTTATATCTTACCTTATCTAAAGTATAATGTGAAACTGCTTTCGAAATCTCATCGGGTAGATTTAAAAGTCGACTACTCACATCCGTAAGAACTTGTCTTGAAATAACCAAGCTGACATTTTCATTTACAACTATAAAATAAAAAAATTAAAATTTTTAAATTCTAATAATTATTACCAAAATTAACAATCGAATTTAATAACAATCTCATAAAAATCAAAATAAATGTATACCTCAAAAAAATTGCAATTTACAAACAAATTTATTAGAAAACATAAAACTTACTTGCTTCAATGAAAACTTTTAAAGTTTCTGCGAGCTCATCACCAGATGATGAAATAATTGCATCTAAAATAGCCCGATATCTGAAATAATAACATATAAGTCAATAACAAAAAAAAAAAAAAAAATTATATTTATATAAAAAAAACTTACTTGTCAGCTTGATCTTTATGGGAACCTCCAGAATGTGCCAAATTTGCTAATTGTTGACGTACAGAGGCTACCGTGACTACCATTTTTTCCGAATTTTATTAATCACATAAACAATCATAAACAACTTTTTTTCGAATGATAAAACCTTCTTTATTTTTTTAATGGCAGCACGTTTTTCCAATAAGACAATAAGTATTCTATCAATTATGCATACTAGATAGCTGGATTTTGTTTTTTTAAGACACTAAATTATTCAAAATATCCACACTAATAACCGCACATAAATAATACCACCTAAATTATTATAACAAGAAGATCATGAACATCATGAAGCTTTGATCTTGTGTCAAGCGACCCTAACCTTTAAATTGTTTCTGAACAAACTCGCACACGAGTGAAAAAAATTTTTACCAAATAAAAAATTAATACATTTTTTAAACTCAAAAATCGTCTATTTTAAATTTTAATAAATAAAATTTATTTAAAAAAAAAGTTTTTTAAGAAAACAAAAAATATCTATCAAGGAAATAATATTTTAAATCTTCCCGCTCTAAAAACGGAAGTGACTTTAGATAATAACTTCCGCAATATATGGCATCATTTCCCGATTTTCTTTTTTCAAAATTTTGAAAATTTCATATCTAGTTTGATTAGAAATAAGAAATAACTCCTAAAAGGTATTAAATATACATTTTTATCTTCTTTAAAAAAATTTTATTTCATTTAATTCAATTAAATGCTCTCATTTCTATAAATTTGCTTCTGGTCACTTGTCAATTTCTCTCTCGATAATAATTTACTCTTAAAAGTTAAATATATTTAAAACAAAATAGTTTCTAATCATGAAAAAACTAGAAAATCTTTCAAATTATATATTAAAATTAAAATAATTTGTTTATAAATATTTTTTCTTTAAAAAAAAAAAAAAAAAATGCATCAGGTTGCTTGGATGCAGGTTAGGTTAGGATTTTTAGAGAAATTCCAATATTGTAATTTTCTTTTTTGATTGGTTAAAGAAGAATGTATTGGACAATTTTTGGAGCGGTGAAAAGGCAAAATATGGCGAAATCGAAAATCCTAAAGTGCGCGAAAGCCTGTCAGTGATTGTTGTTTACATGTTCATAATAAATGCCACGTTGCGATCATCATTGTGTTTTGAGTCAAGTCAAATGAATTGGTTGTCGGGTAGAATAAATAAATTTGATAAAATAGTGACCTTTGCTTCTTAATTTATTAATCTTTGTGTTATTATAAAAGCGGCGCGCGATGCAACTTGGGATAGCAATGGTGGGCGCGTGATTTTGAACAAATTCGTGTTATTAGTGATAAACAGTGGTAAGTACAATAAAATGATGAATTTTCATATTTTTGTGATAAATTAATATTAATAGTTGTGTTTGATTGGATTTTATGAATGATTTTTATGTCCTACTTGACAGGAAAAGTGTTTTTCAGACACGCCCCCACCCAATAGTATACGCATTTCAGATACGAACGTACAATTTTTGAGGTTAAGTTGTATTTCTTCTAATTATTCCTGTCGAGTGTCTTGAAATTTTAAATCACTTATTGTTTGAAGATTTTCGTCATTTCTAGAAGTAATTGTTTTTTATAATAAGTAAATTCTCCGTCGATTAATAGTAATAAACAAGGGTAAAAGTTTGCTTTCTGGAAAATGGCGCGTTGAAGTAATAAATGGCGCTAATGTTGACTTGTGTGTGACTGTGCTTCGAATTTTTGATTATTATTCAAATTTTTCGTTTCTAATTTCAGAAAATTAGTGTTTAAATTTCTAATTGTATTATGTGGGTTGCCTAAAAGTGTTATTAATTTATGGGAATATCAAGAAATGCCGAGATAAGAAGAAAGTATTTGAATTTTTGAATTTTTAAATTAGGCCCAATGAGTGATAGTTAATTGAATCAGATATTTACGTTTTTTTTGTCGATATTAATATATATTACATAAATTAATTAAGACTTGTTAAGTTATCTTTTTTTTTGCATGTTTTCATAATTTTAGGAGAAATAATGCATATAATGTGTTATACTTGCTTGGGTTTGGGATTCTAACCTATATCTTTCTGTTGACGATACTTTTAAATGTTTAGGAATAATTTTTTAAATCTTTAAACATGTTTTTTCATAATTGGATATAAATAAGGTTTAGAAATTTTTCTTTTTGTTTTATTTATATTCAACACTGACGTGAACTTTTTGTTTTTTATTGACCATTGTTGACGCTACAAAAATGTACGTCAAGTAGTTGTAATAATGTAATAGCATATGTTTTTTTTTTTTTTTTAGTATAATTTTGTTAGTAGTTTTTTTTCAAAATTTGTTAAATTTTATTTTTATTTATATAATAGGAGGAAGTTCTTCTGTGGAATAATTCACAATGGCTACAAATAAAGGGCAAACTGTTCGAGCCCTTGTTGAATCTGTGGCTTTGGATTCACGTACTCTTAATGATCAGGATTTGAGTGCATTGAGTCTTTCACATAATGAACAATATTCGTCAACTAATTTTGAGGCCTATACAAGTATTTCTGGTGATTTAGAATGTATGAACGCTGAGGAAGTTATGACAACTGATGAAGAACATGTTGTTATTGAACAAGAATCAGAAACCGAGGGAGAGAGTGTTCTTCCCGATATTGAAATGACGGATGTTTCCGATAATGTTCAAAATGAACAAATTATATATACAACGGCAAATCAACATAATCAGAATTTAATTTTTCAAACAAAACCCACATTACAAAGAGTTCCTGTTTCAACGATTCAGGTATATAATTAATTTCTTTTTTTTTCTGTTTAAAATTAACATTGGATAATATTAATCAAAATTTTATTTTAGATGAAACAACATGTTGGACAACCGTCACAGAGTCAATCATTTATGATTGTTTCACCTGCTGGTGGACAAGGAAATAGTCAAATTTTGAAAATTTCCCATCCCTCCGGTACATCGCCAGGACAATTACAAAGTTTGGCACAAACTTTAATAACAGCAAAATCAGCCGATGGAAATATTGTTCAATTACGTTCAGCACAGCCAAATAAACCAATTATAACGACAACACAATCTGGCACTATAACATTGGGAAATGTTCAAGGAGTTAAAACAATTCAATCATCTTCTATTAAAAGACCCGTTCAAAGTGGACAACAAAATCGAAATGTAAGAATTGTTTCCTTCATTCTTTTTTTTTCTAGATAATTAATTACTTATTAATAACAAACAAAAAAATTTGTAGGTTTATACAAAAATGATACTCTCTGGTAATCAATCACAAACGGGACAAGTTCTTTTTGCCTCATCACAAGGTGAAAGTCAACAAGCGATAAAAATTATAAGTAATAATTCATCGCAAAATATATCGAATCCGACGAAAACAATAACTTTCGCTCAAGCACAACAAATGGGTCTATTAGGTCCAAGTAAAGTTCAACATATTTTACCTTCTTCACCATCTCAGAAACAGGTTTGTGTTTTTTCAAATTTTTTTTCGCTTTAAATCTAATTTTGTTTCTTTACAAAAATTGTCTTTTTCTCACAGGGAATTATTGTTAATAAATTAATGCCATCGACGGGTTCGGCTTCAAAAATGACTATTGTTTCAAATTCAATAAAATCGCCGGCTAAAATTTTACCAGCGCCGACAATGCAGACAAAAACAATTTCATCGTCACCAACATTGGTTAGTAAAGGAAATATGCAACATCAAACTGCTCAAAAAGTTATAATTAGACAGGTAATGAAATTTTGTTTATTTTTAATTAATTTGTTAATTTTTTAAAATTTTTAAATAATTTTTATTTTTTTTTCCTATTTAGAGTTCCTTGAAACCAGGAACAGTACTTGGAGGTGGACAAGTGATTCGAATTCCTGCTAATCAAAATATCGTAACATCAAATCAAGTGCACCAAATTCAAATGCCCGGACGTCAGGTGCAATATGTTAGATTAGTGAGTACACCAGCAACTGGAACAAGTAATGTTGTCACTGTTGGTAAAGCAAAACCCCAAGCGACACTACAAACAGTTGGTGTTCATCAAAAAATTGGACCTCAACAGCAAATTGTTAAAGTGAGTAAAAAAAAAAAATGTTTTTCGTATCTTTTGGAATTTTTTTTTTAACAATTTGTCACTTTTTTAAAAAATCTTTTTAATCTTTTTCAATTTATTTTCAAGTATTTCACTTTTTTCGAGTTGTCAAGTTTACAAAAAATTATTTTTTTTTTCTATTTAATACTATTTTTTATTCTATTAGTTTTATATTTTATAATAAAATTAATAACTGATTGAATTTTACTCAAAACGAAATTTAGGCAATTAGAAGTGTCACGCCAAAAGGTGGAACAGGACAAAGATTGTTGATTCCCGCTTCAGTTGGTGGTCAGGGAAAAAGTGCGGTCGCCATTCCAGCATCAGCTCTTAGTCAATTGGCCTCGGGTCAAGCCGTTATTTCTGGAGGTTCAAACGTTGGGAATATTGTCGTTCTCCCTGCTCAATATCTTCAACAGGTATAAATTTTAATTATAATTCCTTTTAACGAGACGAAAATTTGTGGAATTAAAATTAAATAGTTAATTTAATTTTTTTTCTTAAATTTACAGAAGGATGAATTGAAAATGAAAACACTTCATCAATCAACATCGAGTTTATTAAATAGTTCGCAAAGTTCAATTGGTTCATCTGGAAATATATCAATTGCTTCATACAATGAGAGTAAAATGTCACAAAGATCTGTGGCGAATAGCGAACCAAATGGAATTCGTCCACGAAAGCCTTGCAATTGCACCAAATCACAATGTCTTAAATTGTGAGTAGAAAGAAGGAAAAAATTATTTTTATCTTTTTTTTTATTTGTATTTTAATTTCTTTTAAATTAATTTTTTTCTTTTCAGATATTGCGATTGTTTTGCGAATGGAGAATTTTGTCATATGTGCAATTGTAATAATTGTTCGAATAATTTAGGCAATGAGGAAGAAAGACAGAGAGCTATTAAATCATGTTTAGAACGCAATCCAAATGCATTCCGACCGAAAATTGGAAAAGGGCGCGATATCGGTGAAGATATTGTCAGAAGACACACCAAAGGTTGTAATTGTAAACGAAGTGGTTGCTTGAAAAATTACTGTGAATGCTACGAGGTTTGTAATTAATTTTTCTTTTTTAAAAACAATTATTTAATTTAATTTTTAATTTTAAAAAAATTTGTTTTTATCTCGTGTGTCATTTGTTTATTTTTGAAGTAAAGTTTGTTCTTTTGTTTTTAGGCGAAAATCCCATGTTCTGGAAATTGTAAGTGTATAGGTTGTCGAAATGTCGAAGAGACACTTTTAACGAAAAAATCATTGAAAGATTTAGCTGACGCTGCTGAAGTTAGAACGGCACAACTCACATTAAATAAAGCTAAAATGCAACAATATTTAGATTCCACGGCTTTTAGACCGGCAGCAACTTCAAATACTGGAGCAAGGTTAGAAATTGTTTTATATTTTTCTCCTAATTATAATTTAAAATTTTTCAATAATAACTTTTCTATTTTTTCTTTTTAGACAACCATTCAATTTCCTAACTGATAAAGTTGTTGAAATAACATGTCAATGTTTAATGGCACAAGCAGACGATGCCGAACGAAATATGTTGGACGAGGAAACATCGCAAAAATTAATAATCGAAGAATTTGGACGATGCTTGAAAGAAATAATAGAATCTGCCCATAAAGCAGAAAATATCTAGCAGGGATATTTCATCAGAAAACGAAATTTCCACAATTATTTCAATTTTATCCTTGCGCATTAAAAAAAGCAATCGATGGATTAAAAGAAAAGAAAATGACTGAAATTTAAGAATACCAAAGACATGGTATGGACAAAAATAAAGTAAAACTGAAATCAGTTTTTATTTCGAAAAGAGCATCGATTTACAAACAAACAAAAAATGCACGAGAATAGGTAAAAGAATTTTTAACACTTTTTTTTTAATCAACTCGTTTAATCATATATAATATATTGATATTGTGAGTAATTGATCTTGACAATTTAATTGAATTGAAATTTTCATCGGCAAGAAAAAAAAGAGGAAAAATTGTGAAATTTAATTTGTATATAAATTATAGAGAAATGTAAGATCAAGATAAAAATGATTAGCATAATAATAACATTAAAAAAAATTTTGTACGTCAAAAAAAAAGGCGAAAATTCAATTCAAAATCGATCATTTGCTCCATAAGCTAATAAACTTATTATAGAGAACAAAACAAAAAATTTGGTTTCAATAAAACAAAAAAATTTCAATTTAATTAGCCGCCTTTGTAAAGTGTGTACAAAGATCTAATTTACTAAAAATGACGAGGAAAATTTTGATATTTTTTCAAATCCTGCAAAGAATTGCTATTCAAAAAGAAAAAGCGTCGTATCTTTTCTTTATACGTAAAAAAAATAAATACTTTCATTATTTGCTATTTTTAGTATTTACTGAAGGTATATTTAAAATTAGATTTAATTAGTTTTTACTTGTTTAATTTTTTTTTATATAGTTCTGTAGTTTGAGAATTTTCATTCAAATCGTGAATAAATTATTCACTTATAGTAAAAAGGATGCATTTTTGAAAATCTCTTTTTTGTGTAGTAAATTGTTTAACGATTTATTAATTTTTTTCCATTAAATATAAAATAGTTTTTAAAAAAAAGAAAAAAGTAGAATTATACTTTTTTTTTGTTTATTGTCAATCAAACACGATTTTTTCTCACAATTTTTTGTATGATTGGCATAGTAAACGAAATACTTTACACTTATTGTAGAATAATGTAAGAAAAAAAAATGTATAGATAGGAGTCGATTGAAGTATATAAATATATATATATTATATTATAAATAAAAAATATTATTATTATCAGAGTTGATAAAGTTAATTGCGCTCTTTAAAAAAAAAATTTTGGTGAAAAATCTGTGTGTTCAATGACATGTAGCTATTATTCTAGCTTTGCGACTTTTAAACATATATATGTTATATTTCTACTCATTAAATTATCAGATATAAAATTTATTTCAATTTTTTTCTTTCGAAACAAACCTATGTTCATTAAATCTTTTAATTTTTTAAATTTTTCCTTGAAGAAGAAAATTTAATTTTTCTAATAAAAGTAAAAATTAAATAATTAGAATTTAACAATTTTCTTTTTAGTTTCTTTAGTTTGTTTAAATTTGTTATCATTCTCATCTTCAATTGATTCTAATGCCTTATCGGAAATTGTTTTAACAGTTATTGTTGTTTCTTCTTTTTCTCTCGCAGCATCGGGACAATCTTTCTTTAAATGTGTCACATCACCGCATATTTTACAAGCACCACCTTTTGGATAAAGTCCTTTTGGATTATCGGGACATTGTTTTGCAATATGTCCCTGTTCACGACATATAAAACATTTTGCATATCTATAGTCATCGGATTTTGTAACTTTACATTCAAAATGTGTGTGCTCTGTTGATCCACATTTAAAACAAATGCCAGTTGCCGATTCTTCTTTACCAAGTTCGGGACAATCGGATAAATTGTGACCCGATTTACGACAGTGAAAACAAACTTGTTTTCTCACGCGTGCCAATGCTTTTTCTGCTTTTCGCCTCTCGAGTTTCATTGCTGCGTCTATTTCTGATTTTGGAATTCCTGAAAATAATAAAATTTTTAAAATTAAAGTCAAAAAAATGTTTTGAAAATTTCAAAAATAGAACGAACCTTTGAGAATCATTTGTTGTTTTAATTCTTTTAATCGTTCGGCGTCTTCTTTTTGAACGGGAAATCCATCGTACATGACAACTTCAATTTCCATTCCATTGATCATTAATTTCATTGATTGCATTGGTTTTCTTCTTTGATGTTCCTTGTTGTCTCTAACTTTAGGCTTTCTTAAATGATGATTTTTCATATTTGCCCTATTTCTTTCAAATCTGTTATTTTGATTTGGAAAATTAGAATTTTCCTCCAATTTTTTATCAGGTTTTCCGAATTTCACTTCAGTATTCCAGTCATTTTCCTTAGTGTCAAATACCGATTTTTTCAAATCAGTATTTGTTGTTTCACTTTTTTTATTTTTATTCTTCAAATTTCGCTTTTGACGTTTACTTAATTTTTCCGTGGGTTTTTCTATTGTTGAATTTTCATCGGATTTTTCATCAATTTTGATTTTCTTTTCCTTCTGTTCTGAAACTGCATCTTCAGATGTATCAATTTTATCACGTTTCTTCTTGTTTTTTTGGGGAGAAACAGAAACAGATTTTATTTTCAAAATATTATTTTCTTCCTCTTTATTTTTATCAGTGACTATTTGTTTTCTTTTCACTTTTTCGCTAATATCATTTACAAGATTGGTATTATTATCTTCAGTTTGATTATTTAGAGCTTCTTTAATTTTTTTCTTTTTTATTTTCTTCTCGGTTGGTTTTTCAATTTTATTCGAAGTTGATAATTTTGTTTTCTTTGTTTTTTTCGTTGGTTTATCAAATTCCGCCCAATCATTTGTCACGGGGGAAGATTCTTCTTTTTCCTCAAGTAATTGTTTTGCTGTTTTAGTTTTCCCTTTAGTTTCAAATGATTTTTCTTTTGCCAAAGATTCATTGAGTTGTTGTTTCATAATATGCCATGGTGTTGCTTCCTCTTTGACCCTTTCATTTGAAGCTTTAGAACCTTTAGCTCTTGCAAAACGTGTCATCTGCAAAATAAATTTTAATAAAAATTAAATATTAATAATAAATAACAATTTACGAATAAAATATTTAAGTTTTTCTTTAAATAGCTGTTTATACAATTAAATTATATTTATACATAAAATATATAATAAAAGTAATATAAAAATTACTATAGTATACAGTAAACGTAATATTTAAATTCTAAAATTAAATATGTTTGAAAATTCCACGTGTTTGTCAAACATTTAATATATAATTTAGATTAATTAATGTAATTACTTAGATGGAATTTATGAATCGTTTAAAAAGACAAAAAAAAAAAAATTACGTAAATAATAAACAAAAATGTAAGCAAAATCTTTGAAAGAAATAGTTTTAATAAAGTTTAAATTAATATAAATTTAAAAACAAATTTATAGGTTAAGTCACATGTGTATATAAAGTTCACATATCTAATTTCTAATATATTTCTAAAATAATTAAAAATAAAACTTACATTTCTCAAATATTAATAAAAATAATTAATAATGTATCATTTCACGTTATATAATGTCACAAAAACAATTTATTTAAACAAATTTTTTAATTAAGCAGAAAATCAACAAATGATCAACCCTTTAATTTCAGGGTTTGGAATGTAGTTCAACAACCAATGAAAATTAAAGTGAAGCTGATTGGTTGAATAAGTCACGTGACTTATTACGTAAAATACGTAAATTTAAATAGTTTCAAAATGAAAATATTTTTTCTTTTATATATAAGTGATATATTTTTTAAAAAAAGAAAAAATTGACCATTATACATAATTAATATTACATTAATTAACATAATTAATTGTTACCATAGAAAACAGAACATGTTATAAAAAATTATTATTACATAACCTCAGTTTCTATCAAGTAAAAAGATTTAAATTATTGAATAATAATTTATGCAAAATGTAAAAATTTAACACAAATATTAATTTCCTTTACTTCTTATTGTTTGTAAATGAAAAAGAATTTATATTTCTTTTCATTTCGAATTTACATGAATCTGACAGCTGACGCACGTGTGTGTAAATGTGTATGTGTTAATTATTGTGTTTGACAGTGATTTGACAGTTGGATATTGTAAATTAACAAACATGTAATCAATTGTTTTATAAATAAATAAATAAATAAATCCACTCGTTAATAATTAAAGGTACAATAAAAGAAAGTGTAAATTTCTAGTGACTTGGGATAAACAGAAATACGAGATCAACATTGTTTATAACCTCACTTTTTAATTATGGAGATAAATCCATTGAGTATTATTCTTGTAAAAAGTGACAGTAAAGGTGACAGAATGCTTTTTCGTTATCCACACACAACTAATCATGAAAGAGACTTGAATCAATGTACAAAACGAAAAAATCCTTATTCATTAATTATAAACGAAGATTTGTTGCAGGTTAGTAAAATTTTCACACCTTTCGTACGTAAACTAAAAAGATAAAATAAATTTATTTTATTAATGTTATTTTATTTGTATTTATCAATAATAATTATTGTTTTTCTTTAAATACAGTCGTTGCCATTTCCTACGTCAAATATAACAAATGGAAATCTCACAGGATTATCAGATGAAGTTCTCTCAACTTTATTTGCAGTAAAACCCGAATTATGTGAACTTAAATTTGAATTAAAAGTAAATAATGTACGTTTTGTTGGACATCCAACGCTTCTTTCATCACGTGGAACAAAGGAAACAAATTCCTCAATGTTGTTCAATGTCGTTTTTGCTCTTCAAGCACAAGCGACACATTCGGTTGTGAAATGTTATTACGATCTTAGCAGAAGGTTTGTTTTTTTCAAATTAGAAAATGCAGTTCATTAAATTATTAATTTAGTTTTGCAATTTTATTTATTTTGTTTAGACTTGGAATTGCGTTAAGGCACGAGGAAAAACGATGCGGTTATCTTAGTGAAGAAATTAAAATGATGGTCTCTACTCATGATGAAGCTGCTGCTCGGTAAAAAGGATATTTTAAAAAAATTTTAACAATTTCAAAATATCGAATTTAATTTTATGTTGATAAATAAATGAAAATTTTTTTTTTGCAGATCAGAAGAGGAGAGTGATGGCGACGAATCGCCATACGAAGTGATACTTCAAAAATGTTCTCTCGCTCGCGATTTAAAGTCTGTTTTCAACAGTTTAAGTACAACGGGAGTAATTAATATTATGATTAATAAATGGATTCAAGTTAGTTTTTGCTTGCCGCAAAAAGTTCATCAATCCCACAAAAAGGGTTTTATTATGAATCCAGAAATGATTGACAGGTTTGTTATTTCCCTCGAATAAAATTAATATTAAAAAAATAATAATAATTGGGGTAAAAAATCTATTATTAGATTGAATAAAATTCGATTAAAAATTATTGTGCTAATTAAAGAATAATGAAATTTCAATTGCTAATGAATTAATTTTACCAGGTGCTTAAAAAGTTTGAGGCCTTATCATGGTTTATTGCTATTGATTGAACAATTGGAATTATTGGAATCACTTCCATCGGATTCATCGCCAGCGTTAAAACGAATGATTCAAATGTATAATCCCTTGAAGAGTTTGCAAACTTTAGCTGCCGATTCAGATCTCACATTGTCACAAGTTTTTCAATTGACTGGACATTTGGTTTATTGGGCGAAAGCAACAATTATTTATCCACTTTGTGAAAGTAATGTTTACGTTGTTTCACCAGATGCAATTATTACAAATCAATTATTGGAAATGTTTTCCGAACAATTTCCAGGATTGTGTTTATTGCAGGTAAATTATTAAAATTAATTTCTGAAATTCTAATTTGCATATTTATATAATTTATATAATTTTTAATATTTTTTTAAGGTGCTGAGCGATTTTTCTCTACCAACTTCAATTAGTCAAAAATTAAATCCTCTAAATCAACCACAGCAGCAAACGCAGCTAGTGAAAATTATTATTTGGATGTTGAAATATCATCTTTTGTTGCAATTACATACTTATGTGCAATATATGCCAACAGTTCATGGCCGAATAATTAAAGTAATTAAATCATCAAAATTATTTCAAACTAAAAATTATTAACTATAATTTCTTTTAATTTTTTTTGTTTGTATTCATAATTTTTTTTATTGTTAACATTTTTTATTTTCAGTTCGATTTATTTTTTATTAAATTAAAAAGAAATTTGTAAGTCTTTTGAAAGTATAAAAAAATACTGTTTTAGGATTCAAAGTCCTCGGATACGTCGAGTCCAACGGGAACTGTGGAAAATGAAAATGGTCATCAACAGGAGGATAGTAGTTGGAGTCTGAGCGATACACCAAAAGGTACACCAAGTGATTCAAAAACAGATATGTCATTGTCAATTCATAAGGAGGATGGAATTTATGATTTTCAACCGGAAAATTATTCAATGCCATCGGATGATATTATTTTATTGGATAAACTTTGTCGATTAGGCTATTTTCGTGGTGCACATCATTTGGAAGAAATTATGTATTTGGAAAATATTCGTCGTTCACAATTATTACAAATACTTGATAAATTTCGCGATATTTTAATTACGTGCGAGAGTGAAGATCCAGCGATTGCACTTTTTTATTCTCAATTAAGTTCCCAGTAAAGATCAACAAATTATTTTAACAAAAAAACTGTAAGTTTGTACATATATATTACATTGTAAAAAATATTTAACATTTTAGATTTTTTATATTTGTTAAATTGTTTTATTATTGTTATTATAATCGTTATTTTCATTATTGGTAAAGCAAGTAATAAAATGAGAAATATAAAATAAATATTGCATATTATTTATATTTATAAATAAATATATTTTTTTATATTTTTTATTACAATATTATTTGAATATTTTTTGATGACTATAATTAAATTTTCTATATTTTTATAAAAAATTAATTGCAATTAATTAAGTTAATTAATAAATCAATTTCTATTTTTTTATTTTAATTAAATTTTAATTTATTATTTACAATCATTAATTAAAGTTTAATTAAAATTAAAATTGATTCATTAATAATTACAAATTACTAAAAAAAAGTCATTTAGATGACAAATTTGTTTTAAATAATGTAAAATTAAAAAAAAACTGTTGAGATTACTTTTTTTGAAATTTAAATTTACCGCCAATAATGAAATGGATTTCTATTTTTTAATAAGGAAGGGTATGCCACCAATCAGCGTTCTCTAATTTCCCGCTTTTATTTAGCTACAAAAATTGTCCACCAATGAGGAAGATTGGTTTCCAAGCTGAGAATTGTGGAAATCCGTCCAGCAGCCAATCACAGGCTAGATAAAACAGTTGCAATTCCTGTCGACAAATTTTCATCACTCGGTGGCGTCCTTTTGTTCCAGCAACATTGTTTTTTCAAAAATGGTAAATATTATTTATTTCTCCGCAACTTTTGTGTTTTATTTACTTCTCCAATCGAGGGGAATAATATTTTATGAGAAAAAGAATGGTAAATTGTCGAAAAGTGATAAAATGACCAATGAGAATAATGACTACGCATTTGACGTGTTGTGCAGGTATTCTCATTGTTTGCATATTTTTTCTCACATTTCGGCAATTTTCATGGATTGTTAATCATATTTAACTCAGTTTTGTTCAGTAATTTACATTTTCCCAATAAATAATGTATTGTGGGTTAGTTTATAACATTGTCGAAAGATGGCGCATTTTCAAGATGGCGGCGATTGGGAAAGTTGGCTAACAAGCGTTGCTCATTTATTTTTCCAGATTCCTCGGTGGTGGCTGGTCAAAAGCAAAAATCACCAGTGAAAATGATCCTGAGCATATAAGGGTGTGCCCGAAACTGAAAAGAACCCGGTCTTCTTGTAAGATTACTTTCCAAATTTTCATTTGGTTAGTAATCCAGAGAAGGGATCTCCGGGGACTTGACAGAATCGGAAGGATCGCAAGCTGTGGACAATCCCTACTTTGGTAATTTTAATCTCTTAATTAAAAATTATTTTCGTTTTTCATTAAATTTTGACCAAAATATCTTGTATGACTTGAATATTTTGAGAATATCTCATTTTTTATAAATACTGTTTTATAGGTTATGTTTGCTTTACTTTTTTTTTGACAAAAAAAAAATGCAGTGTGAATAATTTTTTTTAACAAAAATAGGAAGGAATAGGAATAGTTTATAGGAAATAAAGGAACGTAACCTACATAATTGCAGGTTAAAATAAAAAAAAATGTAAAATATGAGAAAAAATATTTTAAAAAAAGAAGAAACTCGTAAATGTACAATTGTAGGTTAGAATTAGTTTTTCCTACTATTTTAATATATCGCCTGCATAAAAATTAAAGAAAATTCCTGATATTTTCAAGATGTCGGCGATTGGGAAAATTTTTAGCAAGTGTTATTTATTTTTTTTTACAGATTCCTGGGTGGTTACTAGTTAAAAGCAAAAATGATCGGTGAAAATGATTCTGAGCATATAAGGGTGTGCCCGAAACTGAAAAGAAACCGGTCTTCTTGAAAGGTTACTTTCTAAATTTTCATTTGGTTAGTAACTCAGAGAAGGGATCTCCGGGGACTTGACAGAATCGGAAGAATCGCAAGCTATGGAAAATCCCTACTTAGGTAATTTTCCTCTATTAATTAAATAATATTTCCATTTTCAATTAATTCACTATCAAAAGATCTTGTATTAATTGAAAATTTTGAAAATATCTCGTTTTTTATAGAAAATTGTTTTGTAGGTTATGTTTTCTTAACTTTTTTTTGACAAAAAAAAAAAAAAAATACGCTACGTAAATAATTGTTTATTTTTGATAAAAATGGGAAGAAATAGTTTCTAGGAAATAAAGAAACCTAACCTGTAATTGCAGGTTAAAATAAAAAAAACCAAAATATAGAGAAATGAAAAATTTAAAGACGAATATTTTTTTTTCAAATAAAATTTATATTTGTCAGAAAATATTTAAGTAAAACTAAATTTAGATCTGTTTTTTTCTAGTTTTTAATTTGTTTTGTTCTTTGTTCCTTTTTTCAGTATCACCTGAGGAAAACAATGGGAGAGCCACCTTTAAAAAAGTATAGAGTCAGTGCGGGTTTAAAAAATTTTTTTAAATTAAATTTAAAGTAAAAGAAACTAAAAAATTTTTTTAATATATATTTTTTTTCTAAATTTCGTTTTTTTTATTTATAGATTTAAATTTTCGCGGAATAATCAGCCAATGCGCGCGCAGTATCCTTTTTGAAAATGCGCCTTATAGTTAGTTATCTTAAGTTGGCATTCATGTTTATCGCCATTTTTTATTTAAAGTAGTCATGTGTTTTACAAAGTATTTTGTTTATTTTTAAAAGTTTAATAGTTTCTTTTAAATTAAATTAATTAGATAAAGTAAAGTAATTTGATAGAGTCAGTGTTTAGTGAATGTGTGAAATTAAAATCTTTAATCTCTCGTCCGTGGGTGAAGAAATTATTTGCACTGATAACAAACAACAATCTGATTGAATTGAATAATGTGAGTTATTTATTTTAACTATTTTTATTTAATTTCTATTATTTCTCATGTGCTTCTTTAATGAATATTTATTGCTTATTGTGCCTTATTTTCTTATATTTTTATTGAAGCTTTTAACAAATTTTTTCAACACGTACAAAAGTGAGGTTAGAAATTTTTAAGTACAAATGTTTTTAATATATTTTTTGATAAATTTTATTAATTGTACTAAAAAAAATTATTTGGATTAATTTTTATTTTATAAAATAATGTCCAGTATTTTTTAAAAATACTTGTATTTGAATTTTTATTTGCAAAAATGATTATTTTTACAATAACTCACTTTTTTTCGTGTTGATTGATTTATTATTTGACTTTTTTGCCTTCTTGCAAAGTGCAAGATGGAAGTTTTATTTAAGAATTGATATATAAAGGTTTTACGTTTATTTTTTTATTATTTTGGGATATTGTATATTTTAAAATAATTAATATTGCTTGTTATTGTTGGTGCTGTTTTGGTTTTTTATTTAATGTTGGTCTTTTTATTGAAACAATTTTTTTTTGGGATTATTTTCTTTGTTTCTTTTTCGATATTCTCAAGTTTTCCACGATATTTGTAATTTGTTTTTTCCTATGGTGTGTGGCTTTTTTTCTTTGGGCTCTTTTTAAAATTATTCCACATTTTAATGGTGTTTCTTTAATTTCTTGTTCTTTTCTTCGCATTTCGTTGTATTTCTTTTCATAAGTTTCGCCTTTGCTTTTAATAGTGGCTTTTTAGATTTTATGAAAAAAACAGAAGTTTATAACAATAGAATTTATTTTGTTCAGAGGCATTTGGAGGTCAATCTGGAACAATTTTTGTCATCTTTAAAATTATCAGGAGTTGGTGTGTCTTCCATATACGCATTTTCTCAACAAGCAGTGAATTTCGAATTATTTAGATTTTAAGATATGTAGGTTATTTACAGATCTTTTTTTTTCGTATGTTATAATTTAAAAGAAGCTAACAACTAAATTAAATTCTCAAATTTTTTCATTGTGTTGAATAGTAAATTACAAAATCGTCAAAACGTTTATAATTTTATTATAAATCAGTGTATAATTAAATATGATACAAAGAACTTCGATAATATATTTATTATCATTAAGATATAAAAATGTATCGACTTTAATTTTATCAGGATCGTTTTTATAAAATTACTTTCTTGTATTTATAGATAGCAGCATCGGGTATATTTTATTATCGATATATAAAATTAAAAAAGAATATTTTTAATAATTTATTTAATTCTAAAATAATATATACATTTTCTTGAATATTTGCCTTTGCTAAAACCGTTTCGTTAAAAAATTGTTTTTCTATGAATATTTATTGATAACATGAAAAAAGTTGCTATCAATATTTAACAAGTGATTTTATTATAACTTGTTGAGTATATTTGTAATTGTTTTAAGCAAATTTAAATTTATTTTGTAAATTTTCTTTCAAGTACAATTTTATAAAATCGACAAACTTTCCATCAGGTTGTAATAATTCAGAAAATTGTCTTCGTTATATTTTTTATATTAGATTAGAAATAATTGTTTTTTCGTTAATAATTTAAGGAAGTGAATAAAAAATGAAGAGATTACTTAATTACATGCGTGGTTTGTTATATAGAGCTTTGTCCTATAAATTGAGCAAATTATGTCTCTCTGATACCGAATCTCACGCTATACCTCATAGTAATTGCTTGGCTTCTGATATACAATCCCAGCATGTAGTCCGTTGCCAGTGATATTTGTTTTGAGAAACATAATTAATTGCTTCGTCAGGTATACCACACAATACTCTGTCTTCGTGTTGATGACGTTGACACAATTGAATGCTTAATCATTAATTCTAGATAATTGACTAATACATAACATATTTGCCAAGTAAACATCCGATTTGTTGGCTATATATATATATATATAGTCTTTGAATTAATCTATAAAAAGTTTGTTTTTTTTCCCGCTGATATGTAGAATTTCTCATGAAATATTTCCTGTTTTGTGAAATCAGAAGATTATTTTTTGTCACGAGTGTATAAAAATTTTATGCTGGAAATTTCAGGTGAATTTTATAAAAAAAAAAAAGATAAAATAAGGAAGTATTTTTTTTCCATAATAAATTATTTTATGAAAAAATTTATAATTAGTAAATTACGAAAAACTTTTTCTTAGTTAAAACGTTTAAAAGTGAGGGAATATTATGTTTTGGTATTAATTTCACAAGAGAGGAAGTTCAAGTTCAAGGAGAAAAAAAGTTATCATAAAGAATCAAAATAATCAACTTCGGTCTTTCCTTATTGGAAAGTGGAGTTTAAATAAGTTAAATTGGAAGTTTAAATAAGGCTAATTTTTGAAATTAAAATTTTTTTTATATTTCTAAATTCTAATTTAACAGAATTTTTTTTTCTTTGAATTAAAATTCATTATCGTATAGGTATTTCAAAATATCTGTAATATCATACTTTTTGTATAGTGGGGAAAATTATTTCTATTTCGATATAAGCTCAGATGTCAAACGATGTCTTATAAGACTGTACAGTATTAGATTTCTGCGGCAAATCCTTTCTCCTCTTTGCATTTAGTTGGAAAATAGCAGAGGCATGAACATGTCTATATTCAGAGTTAATCGCGTATTTCTATTTGTAAAAATTGTTTAGTTTCTATGAAAATAATTGTTAGTGTTTGATAATTGCAAGTGATAAGTTATTTAATCTTTGTGTCACGTCCAGATTTATATACACGTTTTGTATATATAATTTTTTTTTATTATACCAAGAATTATACGAGAATAATTTTTCAAGTTTCTCTACTTGCTTTGAGTTGTGAATATAATTAAATTTAGAAATTTGCTCATTCTTGTGATAGCGTGAGTGAAGAATAAAAAAAAATATATATATAAAAAGAGAAACTATTTTTTTTTTTTACAAAAAGATAGTGTTTTTTTTTTTTTTAATAATTTTTTTGGAAAGTGTATTTTTCTTTAATTTATTGATATACCTTTACAAAATTAACGAATTTTTGAGAAAATATTTGTCAACTATTTCGTAATTAGTTGTCATTGTTTATTTTATTATGAATTATTTAGTGAATTATTTGTGTTGGTGAAAAGTGCACGTGGTACAGAGAAGAGCAGACTTTACTTTCACTATAGAGTTGACTTGAGTCCACTTTTCCTTGTCGATTCGACCTGCATTGAGATTTAGATTCGAAAGATTTTCATGAATAGTATAATATAGCACAAAATCGAATGAAAATTAATTAAATGGAATCTTAATAAATTTCTTTTTATATTGTACTTTTTTTAAAATTTGATTTAGTTTTTATCTGCAGTTATGAAATATAATTAATGAATAATAATAATAATAAAATAATAAAAAAAATAATAATTATTATAATTATAAGAAAAACATTTCTATTAATGGATCATTTCTTTTTATTTAACAGTAATTAAAAATAAAAGTTTAAAAATAATGTTAACAGTAAATTGAATTTTAACAGTGTTCAAAAATAAAAATTAATTTTTGTTCTTCGTTTTAAATTGCAAAATGTTCTACAGTATTTTTGCGGAGGATAATAAAAAAAAATTCTATAGTACCAATTGAATGAAAAATGCGAAGACAATTACTCTATAGGAAGTTTGTGTAATAATTAGAGACACTTGAAATTGATACGTAAAAAAATTGTCATTCAGAATATTACTTTGAAGGTTGTTTTTCTAAATATGAAAAATGAATTTTAATTAAATTTGAAATTTTCTATTCATTTATCTATTTTTGTATAATTACTAATAATAATTTTATAATAATAATTAATTTTTAAATAATTAATAACTTCCTATAATGAAAAAACTTTTTTCATGAATTTGTTTAATATTAAAATTTTTTTTAAATCCTTTCAAATGATCTCCTTTATTATTTCAAAGATGGAGTAATTATTATTACAAATTATTACTATAAATACTATATTTTCAATTTTCATAATTTATAATTGTATTGTTATCTCCATTATAATAGATAGATTTGTCTTCTTTATTATTATTTTTTTATTATTTTTATTATTATTATTTTGAGTGTGGAAATTTCAGTTTTTCATTCAAAGTGTTTTAATTAATTTATTATATATTTTAATAAGTTTAAAAAAATAGGAGAAATAATTTTTTTTTTTGAAGTGTATATATATGCAATACCAGTAAAATAGATGTTATTCGTTAAAGTGGATACTAACGAGCCTTGTTGTGAATAAATTTCCCGTTTCTGTTATCAAGAGGTGGCAGTACCTAATAATCCTTTGAAATGCTCGAAGCGTTAGAGAGACAGAGAGAGAGAGAGAGAGAGAGTAGCCTTCGTGAAGTGCTAAACAGCACTGTCACTGTTCTATTGTCGTGGAAATTCCAATGTAGACGATGAATATTGCAAATTCGAGACGAAGCTTAGCGAACTGTTACAACCGGACGATGAGGCGATAGTGTGTATAAAGTTCATCGAGCGAGCGTGTTGATTCCCTACAGGCTCCTTTGATAACGTTTTCGTTGTCAATATACAGGAATACGTTCCGCATGACCCCTGCCAATAAAACAAATATTATAACACACTGGTTTAGAGTTGCTTTTTCCAATTGCATTTTTATATAATATCGATTATAAATTCTTTTTCATTGATTTATTCGTCTATAACAGAAAAAAAAATAAAATTGTCCAATTAATTTCATCACAAAAAGGATTTCAATTTAAAATCTGATTCTTTGATCAATCAAGTAGTTTGAAAACAGTTTAATATGTTATCTTTTGATTCGCAACGTTTTTTGTTCTCTCTCATTTGTTAAAATAAAATTTTTAGTAAAATTCGAATTTCGATTTAGTGACAAAAATTTACTAGCACAATTAAATTGAATGTTAAATAAAAATGATAATAATGATGATAATTGTGTGTTAATTAGTAACAATTATTTAATTCTAATTGATATAATTATGGAAGCAAAAGGAGGAATATTGTAATTATTAATGCTGTTGCAGTTGAATTAACTTTGAGAATTGAAGCGAGACCATGATATTCGGGAAATTTGTACATGTAGACTTGAAAACGGATATTCTATTGCTAACTGTATATATAAATCTCTTTATGATGACATGTAACTGGAAAATTTTCTCATCAACGATTTAATTAAAGTTGAATTTAAACTATTATCATATTATAGTTTCGTATATTTCTGATATATATTTGCAGATTATAACCAAATCAAATGAATTTATTAAATTGATATTGAATTTCATAAAATCTAAGTTCATTCATTATTATAATATAATGTATATATTATTGAACGAATATATATCTCAATTGTTTTGGTCATGAATTTCGAAATAGTTAGTCGCTTGTTATAATTTTCCATAATAATTTCGGTTATTGAAAGTAAATCCTTGGAAATGAGTGTTTTATAGAATATACATTTTTTTTTTCGTTTTTGTCGATTAATATTATAATTCAAATGAAAGTGGAATATTGTGTTATATAATGTCAGTGAAAAATTATGCTCATCAATATACGTTACAAATAAAAAATGTTGGAAATGAAAGGGAAGATTACAGTTTTAGTGATTCCTCAAACGAGTCGGAAGACCTTTTTCCTTTGATCCGACAAAATCTCGACAGACACAAGATGAGAGATTCGGTACAACTACAGGGAAATAGAATCAATTCTTCTAGTATTATTAAGGTGAGTTCTTTTTTCGTTCGTTTTGATTTCTCCTGGAAAATAGCGGATAAATCCAAACAAAGGCATTTTCTTTTAATTAAGCTTTAATCTAGTTCAATCCCAAATGAGATTTTTCAGCTGCTATTTTTCTTTAGTAGGATTTTTTGTTTTGTTTATCTACTGGTATTTGAGAAGATAAAATGTTTTAAAATGTCAATGTTATTCATCGATTTATTTGCGATTAAATAATATATTCCATTGGTGATTTCATTTCATTCGATTATTTGATAATTAAAACTATTTAGTTGAGAACGAACATAAAGCTAATTAAAGTCTCTGAAAACGAACATATTTTTTTCCAGTTACAAGTTTGGATTTCGAAAAGTTTACTATTTTTTTTAGGCGAATGAAATGTGTTTAATTTAAATTACTAATTCATTTAATTTGTTTCTAAATTCGCTTTTCTGTTTTAAGAAAATTTAAAAAAGAATTATTTGAGGTAGTTTTTAAATTTTAATTTTCACAGGAGGAATTTAGAATTAATAAAATGAAGAATGATATAAGTTTTCTTGGGAAAATTCAATTTTGATTCTTTGAGTATTATTAAATATTTACAATGGTTAGATCGTAACTTCTTTTTTGGTGTAAGAATTCACAGAGAGATTCTTTGCTATTCGCATAAATCTCCCGCAACGTCACCGATAAATCGAACTTAAGTAAATGGTATTTTACTTTACTCGAAGAATTTTATCTGAACTGTCGCGCTTTCTTTGTGAGTATAGTTTCTTTTTGCCAAACCATTGATCGCTTTCAAAAAGATTTGAACAAAATAATGTATTAAAATACTTTAAAAGTTATGTAAGTAATCTATATATTACGGTTAGTTTTCAATTAATCTTTAGTTTTATTACGATTATTTTAAATAAATAAAATCCATGATCAAATTTCGCGAATTCGCGACACTATATATTCGCGGAACCCGTGTCCTAATTTCGCGGATTTCGTGATCTAATTTCACAGATTTCATGATCTAATTTCGCGGATTTTATAACCTAATTTCGCGGAATCAGTGATTTAATTTCGCAGGTTTCGTGACGTAGTTTAGTTATAACCGTGATCTAATTTCGTGGATTTCGTTACCTATTTTTGCGCAAATTGCGACCTAATTTCGCGGATTTCGTGATCT